CTTGAACAAGCAGGTACAGCCTTGTGTCTATGTCACAACTCCAGAGATTACATTGAAGCTGTATCATAACCTGTTTCTTATATCCTGCAGTCTAATACTGATAAACAAGCAAAGGACCGAGAAAAGAAAGGAGCCCACCTCTTGGACAACATTAATGATAGGTTTGTTTTGTGTAATCCTTCTAATTAGTGTGAATCATTAACTGCAGAAATATTAAGTGCTGGGTTGACTATAAGGGCTTGATAATGACTTCAATTTTTATTATAATATTTGAACTCCGCTTTCAGGGAGAGACAGATCAAGGACATTGAAGCATCGTTTGAGGCAAGCATGTTACCTCCTGTCCATGCAACCAATAAAAACTTGCACCCTGTGGAGGTTTTGCCATTGGTACCTGATTTTGATCGGTAAGGTTCTATCTGATGCTTTATGATTTCTTGAATCATTTAGGTGCAATCTTTCTTTCATTTCGGATCATTATTTTAGTGTATTAGATGTTTTGTAATTGTTTCTGGTGAGTTTGGGAAATCAGGAAATTTGCAAGACGAATAAGTATGGAAACGGTGGAGATAAGTAATTGTTTTATCAGTGCGTGGTTAACTGACTTCGTTTGTGTTCTCTGTTTTTGCACTGGATTCAGGCATTTTAAGATTTCATTAAACCTTTGTTCCTGTGATGTTGAACCAGGTATGAAGGTAAATATACCATGGTTACGTTTGACGGAGCTCCTACAGCAGACTCTGAACAATATGGCAAGTTGGACCAGTCTCTTCGCGATGACTGTGAATCACGGGTAAGTAATAGGAGACCGTGATTGCATTCAACAGCAGAATGATGTAACATCTGTCTCAGATCAGGTGTGACAGTAATTTGGTTTTTTGTTTGAGTACAGGCTGTTATGAAGGCCTGTGTGATCTCAGGCCCTGATCCGGCAAACCCAGAGAAGTTCTTGGGTTACATGGTTCCTAATCCTAGTGAGGTAGTATATTTCAATCTATATGATGAAGCTTCAGTACAGTTTGTTTCCAACTAGTACTTCCTTATATTTTGGTCCATGAGTGGTGTGCAAATGATTTCGCTACTGTTGGACATCTAAATGGATTCTTAACCAGTTGTCAAAGGATATGTTTGATGAAGACGAGGATATTTCATATTCCTGGATTCGAGAGTACAATTGGGATGTAAGTATAGCTGAAATTTGTGCAAGCCTAGCAAGTAGATCCCGAGTTTTGTTTGTAAAGAAATTCCATTTCTCGTGGATTCAACAGGTACGTGGTGATGACGGAGAACCAACAACGTTTGTTGTTTCATTTGACGAATCTGAAGCTCGATATCTGGTAGATCTCTTTTCTCAATATCTCTGTATATAAAAGCACCATTTATGCTTGTGATTGGAGCTTTCGATACATCTGCATCATGGTGGCAGCCACTTCCGTCGAAGATCACATTGAAAAGGAAAAGGGCCATAGAGGGAAGATCCAACGACGAGGTTGAACATTTCCCTGCCCCTGGAAGAGTGACTGCCAGGTGGCGCCGCGAAGCAGCTTCAATCGAGCTAAGGGAACCAGGGGTATCAAAAGAAAATAACCTGTTTACTTTTGGCAATCGTTAATCCCGTGTAAGTAATATTTCTACATGTAATTTGTGACATCTGTCATGTCTTTTCCAGGGTAGTAGCATAAAATCAAGAGTTAACAGCTCAAAGTCGAGGTTGATATCAAGGTCAGAAGATGAAGAAGTAGAAGAAGACGAAGATGATGACCTCGAAGAAAGAGTACATCATAGGATGTCCCCGAACCAATATAGTGCTGAGGAAGATGAATTTTCTGACGAATAAACAAGGCGTGCTCTGGTTAATACATAATTTTCTATACCAGAAAAGAATGGGTAGAGAAGAAGGATCGTCGGGAGCTGTAAAATAGGAAGTAAGGATGCGCTGCTGGTAAAACCTGGCCTCATTGATTACAAATTTTGCATGTTTATGTATGTAATGGTTACCGAGTGTTTTTACCTATCAAGCTTTTGTATCGGTAAAAAAAAAAAAAAAAAAATCATTACCTTTGGCAAATTTTCATAGGAGGTTAACAATTAATGTATCAGACAGATTTGGCACTTACGATCCCCCAGATTAGATGACTCAGATTTTGTATGGCTCCATCTGTTCTAGAATCAACGGAGTTTCCCACAAGACCGAACCAAGAATAAATAACAAATTAGTTTGTTGATCGACTAATTGGTTGAAATGTTATTTGAATAAAGTATATGTACTCTATTTTACTAGGATATATATTTAGGCATGTGCCTCTATTTATACTAATTATAGAATGGTGTTTTCTAGTCCTTCCCTCCTAAAGTTGCTAAAATCGTTCCTTGTATGACTCAAACTCGGATTCCTTCGATATGTGGATGAAGTAACCTTTTCTAGAAGCTTATGGAGAGTTAGGGCTTGAGCGGTGGCCCTATGGCGATTGCTATCGACGACTCTTTTCCAATCGGACTTGCTTGCTTAACCCACAAACAACCTCTCCTCCGAATTTGAGCGTGTTTCGAGTTTCAACTTGTATAGCTCCAGTTGGACCTCGATCAAAGTTGTCTGTTGCACTATCAGATCTGTTTGTTTTAGCCACAAAGTGAGCATCCTATGTCCAAATTCATCTATCTTTGAGCTCATGAGTTTGTATTCTCCTCCCCTATCTGATCCATCAGATCCTTTGGTGATCCATATTCGTCATGAGTGATTTATAACCTTGAAAGCACAAAACAACACCATATAAAGTCACAAAATAATACGAAAACACACTCAAGGTCTATTTGAGCTCATTATCCAAATAGTTATGAATTCCATATGAAATGTAGTCAAAACTATTAAAGATGCATTGATAGAACAAGACATTATATCAAATATGGTAGTGCTAAACACTATAAGTTGAGTGTAATCACAACCAAAGCGCCATTCTAGGATATAAGTAGCTTTGTCTAGCTTCGTTTTATGACTTTTTGCTCCCATCTTGATGTTGACTCCTAGCAATCAGGTCTTGATGTTTACCAACACGTACCTAGTGGTCCATTAGGATGTTATGCCCTGAAAACACGTGAAACAATACCAAAAAGTGCATCAAAATAGTAAAAGCCACCCTGCAACTACTAAAACACACATTGAGTGAATATTAAGCAAATCCAATCTCTTATGGAAATAAATATATGGAAATCATGTAATTCTGTCCATATAGCGGTCTAAAATAGTACTTTCTACGCGTAAATCTCACGAGACCTTTATGATGACACGTGACTTTCGATCGTAGTTAGTGGATCATAAGCAGCTTACAAGGTCAACCTTCACACTTAGAGAATCAGACCACATCAATGAGGTCTATATCTCGTAAGGACAATCAGGCATATCCCCATTGATCATAAGCTCCTAACTCAACTCATGAGTCTCAAAGATAGTTGAGGTAAAGATTTTGCGCACTTTATTTTGGCGTTTAAGCACATCTCTACCTTTATTTGACAATGGTCGTTTTATGTTCTCTCCGTTATACGTAGCATACCGGTTTGTTGTACTTTTGTAGCACAAGTGGATTTTTTTACGCTTTGTACATTGGTACATCGCAACCCTGACCAAGCAAGAGCAATTTCTGCACCTTAGCACTCGCATTGGGGGATTCGTTTAAATTCTTTTCCTCGATCCATTCCGAAAGGCAATGCAATAAAGGTGTGTCAGAAGTGTTATTCATACCCAAACACAATTCTCAAACGACACTTCACTCGGCGAGGGATTGTACTAGATAAGCAAAATCATATGGTCGTGAACCGATGCTCAACTGAATCGTTTCTATTCCCGCGCTGAATGAGTGATTGCCTCACACATGGCTTTTACAACACACTTTATTTGTAAAGGCAACGTCTTTTATATCACTTTTTCAGGTAGGGTTTTCAAATATATAAGGATATAGTTCGACACCATTAAGCTCTTAAGAGAAGAAGACTCATTTGGAAGAGAATAAGAACTCACAAATGATAGTAATGAGCATTGTATCTGAATATTTCAAATGGTCTTTAGTCTCATGATGAGGACATTCTTCATAGCCACTACACTAGTCTCCCTAGATCACGTATTAATGCAGAGACTAACAATTCAAAGTTAGACGAGCTTTGGAATTTATTTAGGGAATGTGGCATTATTTAGAAATTTTGAATTTTTTTTATCAAGGATGATACATGAAATGCAATCTAAACCCACCCTACACTTTAAATAGGAAAATGTTCTCATTGTCCCAAGCAACGGAGCATAGAATAAAATTAGCTCGATCACTGGAATGATTCATGCACAATCGGCCAGGTCCTCTTGATTTTTGGCACTTAACGGAAAAGGAAATCAAAATGAAAATAGAGAGATAAAGTGTTTCATCTCCTCAACCTACGACAATCACCTTTGAAAGGCTTGTCCAATGAATCTCTTAAGTGCTTTGAAATCGAGTCATATGAGTTGTCAGCCGAGGAGGCTGCGACTCATAGCAAAAAAATCTCATAACTTAAATTATAGAGTGTGAAGCAACTAACGTTGGGTGACATGCATAGATCAAGGCCATAGTTGCATTGAATGTTCGTGTTGTCATAAGTGACGAGCACGATCTTGACCATCGTTGACTGTCATGTAAAAATGAGCAATACTGAACGATTGTCGTATGTCCATATGTAGGACGTGTGAGAGTGGTGATACCCTTATGATAGTTCTCTTCATAGGGCGTGCTAAACCACACATCATTTATCATCGTGAGGAGTTCTTCAAAAGAGAAGATCATTAAATAAAGTCAAATATGACTACCCCACACGTTAGTTCCAACCATGCGAAAAATATGAATGATAACAATCATGGAAGGAATACCATCAAATAGCTAGGCACACATGCAATGGGATATGCTCAAGTAGAGGTCCATGATCCTCAATCCGCGAACTCAAACACATGCGTACTTAAAACATTAAGAGTAAAGACACATCGACCCAAGAATGTGACTCTATTCATCCAAACATCCACAGAACTTCATCATCGATACATATGATATTATATAGAAGCTTGAAACATAGAACATGGTAAGCATATGAGCAAATCTATAAGTACCATGCATGAGATGAACAAATGAATCACAAGGGTACAAAGGCTAGTAAATAGCATGAGCCCCTTTTCTCTTCTATTTAATAGTCAATATACTAAAGATATAAGGATAAGGAGATGTGGTGGAGGGTGATTAATGTTTGGTGGTATGAGTGATAGTAATATGTTGGCGATGGGTGGTGTATAGTAAAAGATTATGCAAGTGGAGATTTGGGGAGTATTGGAAGGAAAGACGCAAACATTCATTTAAAAGCATAAGAAATTAATATGCAACATTGGCTTAGTAATACACTTAAGAAGCAGAGACGAGAAGTGATACCAAACATATGTCATTCCATGAAACTTGGACGACGTGGTGCATCCTATAATCTAGGACTGTATTGATTATACACCAAATCTCAAAGCTAAACCTATGAAAGAAAATAAAAAAAATATGGGCTATCTTTCGGTAGTACTTTTGTATTTTGTCTTTAAGTTAAACAAACCATGGATTGCTTCCCATGTAGCACCCTCTCTTTTATGCCTTTGAATTAGGAGGTGCTAAAAGTGTTTTAGTCATATGACAAATGAGGGTTCGTTGGCCATTCTCCTCCCCAATTGTATGACAGAGGTAACTCAAGGAAATGATTAGGATGTGTAACGTAAGCCACGATATGCAGCTCGTATACTCATACGTTGAGCCTGCACACCATTTCCTTGAATTATCTTTTGTTATGAGGCTACAGTGAGTTCCCTTCATGGAATTCCAAAGATGTGAATTCCAATTCCTTTTCTGTGTTGATTATAAGAGTAGGTTGACATCTTCCCAATAGTTAGGCATAGGAGTTTGCAAGGAGTCATAATCTGATCCTACCATAAGAGGAATCAATTGGTTGAAGAACGTGCCTTTCGTAGATCCCATGGTGGATATGTCTACGATATGCTCTGCATTATCAATTCTCATCATGATTCAGTGTTTAGGAATATCATCTAAACTATCGGATATGACTAAGAAAGGCTTCCCAAATAGGATAGATTAATCTTCATCCTTATCTGTCTCGAGTACTAAAATGTTGAGAGAGAACACGAAGGGTCCTATCTCGACCTGAACTTCCTTGACCATGCCTAGAGGGGGCAAACCTTTGTTTTCGGTCAATGCTATTTCCATAATCGCCTCTAGCTAGTTGATATCGAGCATTTTTATAAACTTAAAGGGCCATCACGTTAAGCCTAGAACCTATGTCTATGATCGCATCTATTAGATGAAGATCATTTAGGAGGCATGGTGAAATGCCTTGGATCTGTAAACTTTTGTAATACCAAAAAATGCATATGGGTGCGTATGTTGGACAGAGTGAGATTTTGGGAGTGCTCGTACTCGTTTCAATGAAGTTGCCTTATAGCTTTTGTTGGATCAGCCATCCCTACGATAGATTTCAATATTGGTATTTGACAACTTCTTTTCATCCCAAAACAGTGAGAATCTCATTGAGCGTGGTATAAATTCTAGATCTAGAGTATTCTCGAGAAGATGGAAAATCGATGCCCCTGTCGTCGAATTATGACAATATCAGGCTATTGGGGCAGCTGAATCCCTTAGAGGGAGGATTGTTTGTCTCGTTCTGTTCCATAATGGTGTTCACTTTCTCCCATTGTGGTAGAAAATTTTCATACTTTCAATGTCAGGATGAGTCATGCTGGTGTATAGAGAGAATTCTTGTTCCTTATGAGGTAAAGAGTTATTCTCTTTGTGTACGTATGGAAGGTAGACACCGTTTCTTGTAGTAAGGAGGAAATGGATGCTTCATGTACAATTTGACTTGATACATATTCCCCTTATCAACATTTTCAGAATTTGGTCAATTCAAAGCGGGATTGGAGCCTCGATCGGCCAAAGTGGCCACCATTTATGGGCTTGTAACTTAGATGAGTCATGCTTCTTGGGATCGTATCTCTATTTCCCTTTTTCCCCAAAACAAGGTTTGGAAGTATGTGGCCAATAGAGAAATCACCTTCAACACTAGTGAGGTCCATCTCTTGTTTCCCTCGGCAGTAGGGATGGCAATTTGAAACCGCCCCGCCGGGTATTACTCGACCTGACCCCCGATGTGGCGGAACATGGGTATCTACTTCCGACCTGCCCTGCCCCATCTCGTGCATTCATGGCCCAATTTTATCTCAATTTCTTACAGTATCTATTCATGATTATCCTATTTTGACATTTCTTCAACTAGTTAGACTTGATTTTTCAACTAGTTAGTCTCAATTAGCCATTCTATTATCACAATTTTTTATTCATGAAGTGTTTCCCCTTTGTTTTATCGTAAAAAGTAAACTTTGGCGTGTATTTTTTTCAAATAACATATAAGAGTGGGTCGACCCGCCCCGTAGACGCTTGGTATTACACCCCCCCACCCCTCGGACCCTCAATAGCTTGGGGCGGTGCATGGTTATTGAGGTGCCCGCCCCACCCCGCCCGATTGCCATCACTACTTGGTAGAGTCTTTCTATCCAGACGACTCTAGAATCAGTGAAGACTCAACTTTTTGGGTCTATTCTAGTGAACAAAATTCGGCGTCAGAGCCACCGATTTTAGCTTAGAATCGATGTAAAACTCAACTAATTTTCTCTAATTAAAACCATTTAAAATATATGCACATCATCAGCTATTTACCAAAAAAGTTAAACCCTTGGTCCATAACAACATTTTGGGAAAACCCATCTTCAAATGTCTCATGTAAAACAATGTGGAGAGTTCAGTTTTCCGCCCACCTCGCAATCATCAAGATTGAACTTGCTTCGTCCCATTGCCTTCACCCATTTAGCTATTGATATGGGAAAAATATTGACGGGGTGAGACATAACTCAATGAGTAAATAATAACCTAATGTAATTATGTAAATATCAATACAAAAATGATATCAGATTATGTTGTGACTTAGAGTGTCTTTTGTCCACTGTACTCGGTGTATATTTAATCGCTTAGGAACTTTACCTAGAGCTCACTCCTATAGATTTATGAGGAATTCCACTCAATATTTCACATATACATTATGAGCCATTCATTCAAGTCCTTATATATATGTCATACCTCATTCGTTTAGGGTTTCACCTTTACTGTACAATACTTGACGTTTTTTTTTTTTGTCATAGATAGGGTAAATTATAGATATTACAGGACACTTAGCAACCAAACGCGACAGTCGACAACTACTCGAACTGTCGATGAAAGAGCCATAAAAGCCACAAAATGGGCAGCTCTATTGTACACCTAGGAGTACAAATGCAAAAAAAAAAAAAGAAAGCAAATGATGGAGCAGCCAAACAAATCTCTTCCAAGATCGCTCCACCTGTCGCATGCGCCACATCACGAGATTGAATCATAATGGATGGATGCTTGCATGGTCAAGGGAAAACTATGTGCCCCTGCAAAAACAAACAAACACACAAGCGCCCATACTGGAGGACAACTAAGCTCCACCGAATGGACTTAAACAAGCCATTGAGGCTTAGTCGGATACTCCGAATCAAAAGCTAACAAGGTCAAAAGAAAAACACTTTTTATTACCTTTTTTTTACATTAAAGTTAATGAAAAGTTTATATATACAAGCAGTTAAGGAAAATAAAATTAAAAGATTTTAGAATTATATTTCTGGAAATAAATAAATATTAAAATTAGAGAGGAAAGAGAAAAAACAAGCGTATCTGAAACGGATCGCAGTTGGAATTGCCTCTGGATTTGTAACCGTTGCTCATGGTAACCGTCGAACCCCAAAACTGAAGCTTCCTAAAGTGTAACTACCGGCCGTCGGGATTGGCATCGTCGGAAGCAAACTTCGTGCGCTCGGAAGCAAACTTCCGATTGCAAGCCGCGCCGTGGAAGTCCTTGCCGGTCTCGCATATTCCGCGCCTCTCTCCTTTTCTGCTTCGTAAAACGAAGAAAGGCAAAGCCTAGGAACCCAACAAATACAGAGGGGAGCACAATCGACACTTACCCTCTTCTCCTCTCCTCTTCACGCTGCACCTAGATAGTGAGTCGATAATCGATGGTGAGGCGATGGCGTCGGGGGGACAGCGGCGAGCGACACATAACGCTTTCGATTCGAGCGACTATCAGTGATCGGTGGAGGCATGGAGGCAACAGATCTTACTACCGAGATCCAGACGATGGCGGTGATTAGGGAAGAGCCACGAGTCTGAATTTTGCTGCATCGGGCCTCACCGGATCCGTGCTGGGACTAGGAATACTCTAAAGTTGCCATTTCAATACTTGACGTTGAAAATAGTTTGTATTCGTTCTTATATATCATATGGAAATTTTCCATCATATCTTTGTACTTCCATCAACACGACATCGTAGAATGTATACTAGAAAATAGCATTATACCCATTTACACTCCATGGCAGTATCATATTTATATCAACATATCATCACTGCTTATAAAACAGTTAACTAATCAATCATTGTATCACTTGTCATAGGAGATCACCACAAAATATACCTCATATCACTTGATATGACATAAACACATAAACCTTCACATAATAGCTAGGAAACCTTTATTGCAATTCTTTTTACATAACTGCCTTGAATATCATTTCGCATTTCATATACTCATCACATAATACCGTTCAGCATACATATAACATGTATTATGACCTTCTGGTAGTGATGGCAATTTCAACCCGCCCCGCAGGTATTACCCGACCTGACCCGCGATGGGCGGGTATTACCCGACCCGCAATAGCGTGGGGCGGGGCATGGGTATCTACTTCCGACCCGCCCTGCCCCGCCCCGTTCTAGACTCATTTATCTCAATTTCTTATAATATCTATACATATTTATCCTATTTTGACTTTTCTTCAACTAGTTAGAGTCGATCTTTCAACTTGTTAGGCTCAATTATCCATTCTATTATTAATATTTTTCATTCTTAAAGTGTTTTTTCCTACGTTTTATTGTAAAAAGTAAAATTTACTTGTATTTTTTTAACAATATGTAAGAGTGGGTCGACCCGCCCCGCCCCGTACTCGCGCGGGTTTTACCCGCCCCGACCCGTAGTAGCGTGGGGCGGGGCATGGGAATTGAGGTACCCGCCCCGCCCCGCCCCACCCCTTGCCATCACTACCTTCTGGTCATACCATCATACACCCATTTCATCAATATTATCACATTATTGTACAATTATCACGATATAGTAACTTCATCCAATATTATGATCATTCAATCATTTCATCATCATTCAATCATGTAATCATGCCACATATAAATATTCAATGACAATTTGTTAAGTCTTACCAAGCCATCATATACTTTGTACTCAGACCGCTTCATGACTCGAATAACATAATTGTATTAAGATAAACATTAGGCTTATAGTTTAATTACGGTATTATCGTTAATCCGGTATTCCATTGCCTTTTGATGATTCCCCGAATTGCTATTTTCTTTTAGAAAGTCATACATGTATTTATTTAATTAATATAATTATTTACTAAAAAAGATTGATCATATCCAAATAATGTTAACTTACTTAATACATGGACACAAAAAGGCTCGACATTATTAAGCCTCCACTCCTCATCTTTTCTACGTGACTCTTTGTGAGATTCATAGTTAGTGGCTTTCCTACCCCAATCCGCCTACTCTTTGTGAGATTCATAGTTATCGAGCATCTAACCGGTATATAATTACGAGGACATGCACGCTTGTATCTATAGATTAAAAAATAGAGATAGAAGACCAACATAAAATATGGTACGAGAAAGTTACGAAAAAATATGTACGGGTATTATATTTCGTCTCTAAACTAAAGTCACGTTTAATAGTATGTTAATAATCATAAATATATAAAATTAATCATTTTAAAAATAAATAAATATATAAATAATATTAAAGTTAACAATTTAATTCGTAAAATACGGATAATAAACGTGTTATACGGGGTTTTATACGTCTAGTAGGGAGCCGTCAAATGAATGGAGGAAAATAAAACGGCTTGACAATATTACGAATACGAAAATTTTAAACAAATAAAATACGTATGGATTTATATACGTGTATTAAACGGAGTATTTACTAACTATAAAGAAAACAACTTCTAATTTAACAATTGTAAACATCCCATAATGCATGCACAGAACACACAACCCACTTCTATAACTTTACTAAAAATAAATAAATAAATAAAAAACAACACGTCTGTAATTTGCAGCTTCTTTGTTAATTCTTTACCTTAAGCACTCCTTTTCCACAGTTAGGGCAGCAAGCAGGAGCAAGAGATAGGAAACATATATGCCACTCTCACTCTCTCCCTCTCTTTCTCAAAATCTCTAGGCAACGAGAAATTTTACAATGTTATACAGTATTAGTACTATATGGTTTTGTCTTTATGGTACAATTTAAAATTGTACATTTACGTCATGGTACAACTTAAAATTGTATCTATACTTTTTGTACAAATTCTTTTACAGTACAACTTGAACTTGTACCTTTATGTGATGGTACAACTTCAAGTTGTAAAGTTGTACCATAACATAATGGTACAAATTGCTTTATGGTACAACCTAAACTTATACATTTAATATTATGGTACAACTTTAAGTTGTACATTAAAGCACCAATACTATATAGCAACACCAAGTAAAATGTTGGGTAGATTATGTTTCAGTCCCAACTATTTATCAATCCCCTTGCCATCCATTCATTTCTGGCCATGAATTTGGCCTTGCCATTTGTGAGACACGCACAGGTTTGGGAGCACAAAAAGGGTTGGAAATGGGACATTTTGCATGCATTAGAGGAGTAAGGAGGTTTGGGTGGAGACAAGATAATTTATTTTCCATGTAAGCTCTTACCCATATTTCCCTTTGGTTAGAAGAGTGAATGAGAGTTTAAATGGCTTTTTTTTTTACAAAAGATAATCGATATATTGATCAGAAACATAGATAGTTACATCCTGGAATTTAACCAGGCCAGAAAATAAAAAATAAAAACGACTCGCAGTCGGGTATAAATGAAGGGCCTTCTTAGCCACCAAGTGGGCTACCCTATTACTACGCCGACCTACAAAACGAACAGAGAAACCTCCCAGCGAACCCAAAACACCAACAATTTCTTCCAGAAGAGCCCCAACTCGGCTATCCCTAGTATCCGACTGGTTGATCTTATCACTAAGCACCTTAGCATCCCCATCAAAGCGCGCCTCCGCAAACCCAGAATCCCGGCACCAGAGAATAGCCTCCAGGAGAGCAAGAGCTTCAGCAACCAAAGGATCATCGATTCCCACGAATTGAAATCCTCTGGCCATTAGAATTCCCCCAGACTGATTCTTGATCACCATCCTCCGGCCGAATGGGAAGCTGCCATGGTCACCCCATCCCATATGCAGATTAAAGGGCAATCCGGAACATCCACTTCCAGAGGGGTCGGAGCTCCCTGAGATCTATCAATCGACAAGCTAACCCATTCCTGGTATTGCTGATGATATTGCCTCATTAAAGCTGGAATCCCAAACTGTTTACCTTCAAACACGACCCAGTTCCGGGACCGTCAGATTCGCCAAATGACAGCGGTAACCGCCTTGAACAAATGGTCATGCTGAATGATATTCATCAACCGTTTTAGGAACAAAGGGAAAGTGTTTAGAGGCAACCCCTGACCCAAGTACTCCAATCCCGTGTAATCTCAGAGAGTTCTTGCCACAGGGCATTCCAGAAACAAATGCTCCAAAGTTTCAGAATCAACCCAGCAAACTAGGCAACGAGGATGGACCTGGACCTTCCTTTCTATCAGAGCCTCAGTTGTAGGAAGGAGCCGATTAAGATTTTCCAGAGGAAGACCCTCAGCTTCGGAGGAATAAGAGCCTCCCAAATGCGTATCCAGCTAGACCTATCCATCCAACTGACTGAAGAACGCCACCGGCCATCCTTCTTATCCAACTGAAGCCCCAGATGGTATGCCTATTTCACAGTTATTTAATTTGGTAATTTTTTATAAGTTACAATCATTGTCTACCTCTGAAATTTAAGTAATTAAGAATATTTAAATGATTCATTGATTGACACTTATTAACCATGCTTATTACAATCTCATGTCCATCTCTAAAAAAAAAAAACAATATATACGTATTCAACAAAGTAAGAGGGAGGGTTGTGAAAAATTCTATATAGTTTCATCAATTTGTCATGTTCATCATCTATATGTATCAAGTAGAGTTTAAGAAAGAACATCACAATTGTACCATATAGTTCGTGCTACAATTACTAGACGATTTCACTATAGGGGATGTGCCAATTGATGGTTGAGATGTCGGTTTCTACCCAATGGGGAATTTTTAGTTTAGCTCCTAGTTTTGTACCTCTGGACACTTTCTGGTGTTCCTAGCACAAAGAGTCAACATAATCAGATTTTGGACAAGCCTTGTTGAAAAGTTCTTGATGTTCATACTGGTATTTTCCAAGAACGTTGATCTCTTCTTTAAGAGTGTTCTCCGTATTTCTTAGGAGAGATCCTATATTTCTTAGGATATTCTAAAGCTCTTGAATGGGAAGCTAATTGGAACTCCAAATTCTTAAGGGCGCCTCCTAGCCTTTGATGCATGCACGGAGTTCATCATCAGCCAACCCTGCTAAATGATCATGATAGTTTGTGTTCTTATTTTGAATGGAGGTCGCCTATCAAATCTTGGTGGTGAAGGATTTGATTTCCTTACCCAATTAGAATTGCGTGGAGCCTTACTATCATAATGTGTGTCATGAAGATATTGCACATTAGTTGATAATATTCTCGAGTAGTCAGCTGGCTTCTGACCTCCCGGAAGCGGCCAAGGTCCAGCTGGTGGTTGGCTCCAAGTTATGTAATCGTTATTCATGCAATTATTAGAAATCATATAGGGGCATAAGAAAAGAGAGGCCGAGTATTCTGGTACCCATATTATTGCGATTGAGATTCCGAGTTTGAGGTAACTAGTAGCTAGGAAATTGATTTTTTCGATTTGGAGATCTACTTATAGCCCAAATTTCAGCCAATGGCGACCATCCTTGGCACAACATTCGCATACAAAAAGTCATGTTGGGGTTGGGCTTTGTCCTAGTTTTAGTGCATTTATCTCGTCTTAGCTCCGCTAGTTGCAGAGACAGACTGATGAAGCGGTCATCTTATTGTCGCACTCTTTTAATGGACATATGAGTAGTCCTCATAGACCAATTTTGAGACTTTGTAGCCATAGATGCCAAATACTGAAGATCTTGATGAGCGTTCATTTGCGTTATGTCACCTTCGACAGGCTGATTCAGCATCCCCATGGTGTTTAGGTCGAGAAATTTTCCGAAGATATCTCCTAACTGTTCTTTCCCAAATCCATGATGAGGGAAGAATGAATGAGCTCCTGGAATCGCTCCCATGCTTCGTACAACGACTCAGAAGCTAGTTTTCGGAAGCGAGCATTTTTATCCTTTAGATCATCAGTTCTCCATGGAGAGAAGAACCCTTCTATGAATTCTTGGACCAGTCCCTCTCACATTAGGAAAGTTCCTGTAGGTTGGCAATTTAGCTAGCTCTTGCGCTTTCCTCTAGATGGAGAAAGGAAAGAGGCATAACCTTATTATGTTTGGCTCTACACCTGGATGCTCTACAAAATTACATATCTTCATAAATTCTTTGATATGCTTGACCAGATTGTCCAGCCTTTTTGACTATATGGATAGTTAAAGGCTTTAGCTTGAAGTTGGGCACAACAATTGGAGGAAGGACGATGTTGGAAGCTATTTTTGCAGGTTGAGGCTTCATGTACTCATACAGGGTTCGTTTACCCATGCCTCATAGAGTTTGTGGTTCACAAAGAAGCTTGTTGCTTACTTCTTTTTAACTATAATCGAAGAAGGTGTAAAGGTAGAGGGCCATTAGTTGTCGGTTCCTAGAACCTCTCTTCTTACACAGAGGTGATGACTTGGATTCAAAGGAATCAAAGTACACACCTATACACACAAACTTGGGCAAGCCTTTTAAGTTTAAACTTGTTTGCCATGCCTCTTATTCATGTTGGGCTCATATAGATATAAAACAATATATAACTTGTATGTAACATGCTTTTGCCCAAAATTGTCACCCTAGCCGTTGATTTATGCCAGTGAATGGCGCTTAGGTCACCAAAATAATGCCTTTAGTTTTAACCCCGAACGTTGACTCACATACATAGACTCAATAGAATACAAAAAATAAAAAACGTAAGAGAAAAAACAAAAGCTAAAAAAGAAAAAAATGTAAAAATTAAATAGAAACAGAGGGGATCAGAATTGGCGCTAGGGCTTCCGAACTACGAAGGAACAAGGCACAGTGGCTGCTGATTCTGCCCCTCATGAATTTGAATCTAAACTCAGACTTTCAATCACATATTCAAAGAAACAGAGAAAATAAATTAAAACATAAATAAAATACGAACAAAAATGAACAAGAGTAAAATAAAGATAGAACACTTACCTCGTTCCTTTGTGGTGGTTGCAAGAGTCTCCAACAACAGCGCCAAAATTTGTTCGTGTGTAGTAAATGTATGCAAATTTACCTGGTTCAAAGACCAGGAATGTATTTCTTGGGGTCTCTCACAACCACTTAGGTGGTGAGGGACAAGTTCTATGGTTTAAAATGAGCATGTGGCGGTAGAGGTTTCTCTAGGAATGAAATGCTCATTGGTTTGACAAATTTGAAAGGAAAAGCAGTACGAGAAAAGTAAATATATTCTAAGGGATGCTGAAAGATGCAAGAGGGTGAGGTGTTGCACCTGCAAGCTCCCCTTAGATTTCCTTGACTCACATCCATTTTACGATCTAGGTTATATCCTGTCATGATCAGAAAAATCCACTTACTGTGCACCTGAGGGCACGCATACTGCTTTAGCCTATTCTCTTGAGTTGCATGTATCACGTCATGCAACTGGTGCATGTATTATTCTTGTTTCTATACGTTCTCTGACATAGGAGAGCAAACATATTAATATGTACAACGAGGTGAATTCCCATAAGCGCTTCATTCTATAACCTTGGATCACAACACTCGATCCTTGTAGCATATGAACCTCTCGATTCTTGATAGGTTTATTCTTACCATAAGTCGTTGCAAATACCAGTTCTAATAGGCAAAGATAATGGACCCGATGGATTTCTTAGTCGAGGAAGTCGACACAGTTTGATTGATTGATGATCGATCCGGAAGGACTGACGTTTCCCGTCTCATTCACCCACAAAGTCACATTTGAGGACATGTCCTTAAAAGATATTCATCGTTTTATGAGCTCAACGTCATCATAAATAAACCAAAGAAAATAACCAAACGGAGAGAAAATAGCCTATACGATTCGCCAACCTACGAAACTAAATGTTGATGATTTTTTGGGGCATGATAAGTCGAAATGAGGTCCCAAAAAACCTTATAAATTGGCATCTGTGCTACCATTTCTGGCACATATTTACCCTTCGAGGTTAGTTTTGCTCTAATTTGGGCGAGCCACTATGCCAAGAAAATAACGAACCTATACTGCTTCCTATCAATGGCTACTAATCTTCTATCTCATAGGGGTCTATTTATAGGAATTTTCATTTGGTTTTATGTGTGTGTGTGTGGTGGGGGGTGGGGGGGGGGGGGGGGGGGGGGGGGGGGGGGGGTTTCGGTCTTGGACGCGTCTTCATAGTGCATTTGGATCACTTCTAGCTTGGCCACCAAATATGAAATATTGAGGATGAATCTGGGTACATTTTGGACGACCACCAAAACAACAGCTAAGGTGTTTTAGGATATAAGAAGCTTTGAAGTTCCTAGCAGTCGAGCCTTGAAGTTCCCCAACACGTAAAAAGTGATTCATTAGGATGCTATTCCATGAAAACACGTGAAACATTACCAAAAGTGCATCAAAATAGTAAAAGCAATCCTAGAGCTACTAAAACACGGAAAAAATCCAAAACTACCCCTGTTTAAAAAAATTACAAAAATACCACCCACTCCAAATAAATTGCAAAAATACCATCGTTTATATAAAACTGCGCCTCTAATGAGCGGTTTTTAATGAAACCGCGCCTCCAGGCAGCGTTTTACATTATAACCGCGCCTCCAAGAGGCATTTTTAATTTCTAGAAAAAACCGCTTTTGGAAGGAGCGGTTATATGCTAACCCTACCACAAAACGCTTTAAGAGGGAGCGTTTAAACGTCGGCATTACAAACCGCCTCACCAAGCGGCGGTTTACAATGTCAGGACATAAACCGTTGCCCCATGGCGCGGTTTGTGCCTGGTCACCCGACAGCAAACATGTCGGACATGTCGGCATGCAGGGGGTAGGGCTGCATGGCAGACCTAAAACCGCTCCCCCCCCCCCCCCAAAGCGGTTTTGCTGCAAAATTTGCCTATAAAAGGTTGTTTCAGAGAACTCAATTCTTCACACCTCCTCCTCTTCCTTCTTAAAATTTTAGCTTTGCACCTTTAAATTATTTAGTTTTTGCGATTAACGTTAATTCGTAAGTTTGTTTCGTAATTACTTTTCATTATCCTTTGTGATTTTATGTTAGTAACTTAATTAATTTTCATTGTCCTTTGTGATTTTATGTTAGTAACTTAATTACTTTTCATTGTCATTTGTGATTTTATGTTAGTAACTTAATTACTTTTCATTGTCCTTTGTGATGTTATGTTAGTAACTTGTATTATTTTTCATTGCAGATGGCATTCCAAAGGTTCACGCTTGGGTTGCGCTGGAATGGTTACACGGAAGAGACCGAAAAGGGTGTAAGTTACGTCGGTGGCAATTTTTATAAAATGAAGGTCCGTACGAGACCGATGCTTGAAGAGCTCCATCAAATGTGCACTCAGATTACCTGCATGGATGGCACTAGAAGAGTTGATCGAATGGTGTATCGATATCCAAACAGACATGACAGGTCGCTGTGGAATGAGGAATTCCTCCTTACCACTCAGGAGGACGTTAATGCCATGGTCCAATTTTTTACCACCAATAAAATTAAGCAAGCGGAGATGTTCGTTTACACCGAGGTCGTCGAAGGCAGTGTAGGTCATTCTGGAGATGGCCAAACATCTGGTATCCACGGTGGGAGTGTATTATACGAAGATCATCCCCACCAGGATTTCCAAGACTCGAGCTGGAGGCAGGAGTATCATCATGGAACTGGAGGAAGTCATCCGTCCTTCCCTTCATATGAAGAAGAAGCTCAACAGGCGGATTACAACCAACAAGCAGGCTACCAGTACCCACCCGAGTATAACTTCTATCAAAGCGGTGTTAGTTACCACAACTACCATTACAGAGCTAGTGAAGGTGAAGGTTCCTTTCATGCTGATAATCAGATGGAAGAAGAGGTCAATCCAAGTCCATTTAGTGACCCTGAGGTTGAAGAAGAGGAAGGCGAAGTTAGTGCAGACAGCTTCGATCCGCTGGAAGGTGTTGATGATTCCGGTCCAGATTCAGACGTAGATGGTGATGAGGTACCTCACGAACGTGTACCTATTCCATACTACAATCACATTCAAAATGAAGATTGGTATGTTGATGCCGACATGGACCTGCCAGATGTGCCAGTATGGGGTCCACTAACTGGCTTTACGAAGGGCCAACAATTTGCAACAAAGAATGAGGTCTGACACGCTATTTCCACTGAAGCAATGACTCGGAGTTTTGAATGGCAAACAACCCATTCCGACACAAAGAGGCTAATGGTTCGATGCAAAAATGAAAATGAGGGATGCAAAGCTAGGGTTCGGGCCATCAAGAGCAAGAGAGTCGGCCATTGGGTCATATCCCGTGCGGTGAACACACACACATGTGTGTCATCAATAACATCCCAAGGCCATCGATAGATGAAATCAAGGGTGGTTGCCGCGGCTATCAAACATCTAATTGAGGAGCAGCCCGACCTGAAGGTCAAAACCATCACCGCCCACATTTCTAGTCGTTATGGTTATATCATTAACTACAAGAAAGCGTGACATGGGAAACAGAAAGCAATGGCTGCCGTGTTTGGTGACTGGGAAGAATCATATGCATTCCTTCCCAAGTTGATTTTGGCGTTGGAGGTGTCTAACCCTGGCACCATTTTCTCGCCTCGCTACCAAGATGAAGAAATTCAACCGCCGGTGCCTGGTAACAATCGCCAATTCAAGCGTCTTTTCTGGGCCTTCAAGCCATGTATTTATGGTTTTCCATACTGTGTTCCTATAATTCAAGTTGATGGAACATTCCTTACCGGCAAGTACAAGGGTACTCTACTGATTGCCAGCGGAGCAGATGCAAATAGATTAGTATATCCATTAGCCTTTGCCATTGTGGAGGGAGAGAATACCGATAGCTATGGATGGTTCTTCAGACAAATTCAGCTCCATGTCACCAGGCGGACGAACCTGACTATCATCTCATATCGCCACGCCGGTATACGGGCTGCTATCTTAGGCTTGGATCCAACCTGGAACTGGTCACAGAGATGGTGCATACGGCATTTCAAGAGCAACTGGAACCATCATTTCAAGCGAAAGAAGCTTGCTGACAGTCTATGGTGGATCGGTAAGCGTTCTAATTAATTGTGTATCTGTAAATTTTTTCAACTGTATAAAAGTATGGAGTGTGTCAATACAATACAACACTTATTTAGACTCTTTATAAAGAAATGCATGTCTAAGGAAATGGGGACTTAAGCGATCATCATGATCCCCCCATGACCTGGGAAAATAGGGTTCTAAGCGATCCTCGGATGCCCCCTTTTTCTGTCAAAAAGACTGTGTTTCTAAGGAGATGTATACCTCTCCTAAGAGTCTTACGAGTGTACTTGTATTGGCAATAAGGTCGATCTTGCTTATCTTACGTTTTTTTTATATTCATCAGCTGTCGCGTACCAAGATAAGAAATTTAAAGAGAAGATGCAGAATATCCGTCAAATATGCCCTGAAGGTGCGCAGTGGCTTGATCAACATGACCTTGAAATGTGGACTTTTCATAAGGACGGAGGTCACAGATGGGGTATTGCCACAACAAATCGAATGCATTTACATACAATCCGTTTGATACAAATTCAATTGGATTGGTAAATTCAAGAATTATATTTTAGCACTTGTACTTTTTTATATTTTAGATTTGATAACTAAGTTTGACATTTTAGTATCTAAACTTTTCAAAATTACGTAATGATCCCATGTTTGGATTGGATCAATGAATCCACCAATCCAATCAATTTAATCGAATCCATGAATTCACCGATCCATGATTGAGTCCATTAGGGAGAACCAAGTCAAATTTAGGAGGAACTCATTGTCAATTCGGCTTCGAAGCTTATTCTTAATATAGCTCCATCTAATATATGCACTTTTGTCTCCACCATTACTCGAGATAACTTATCATTTTTTTTTCCAACACAACAAGTCTCTCATCGGCCATAATATCGTGATAATACTTAACGAGTTGTAGTCGAATAATAGTGTCATGAATGAAACCAATAATTTAATAATTTTTTGTGAATTAATGAACAAGTAATGAGTTATGGTATAATGTTAAAACATCTTTATGTTACTTGTAAGTATTTAATTCGATCCGTATAAATATATGTGGGTTATTTTTTTCCCTCCCCAAAAGTTATCATGTCCCGGGACAGGGACAAACACCCCTGGCTCCGCCTATGGTACCACCGAACTACAAATAAGGCGTCGGGTACCACGGAAGTATGTGAATAGTGACCAAAATTAATAGAATGGCTACTGAAAACACCCAAAATAATATAAATTCAATAAATCTCCTCCAAAATTAGAAAACCAACTTATAGGCACAAAATTAATAGAATGGCTACTGAAAATATTTTAATAAAACTAGAAAAAATTAGGAATAATGAATGAATATCAGGAAAATATAATAAACATACTAGAAGATATATTTAATAGTTAAGATCAATACTAGAATATCAATGTAATGAAAAACATAAAGAAATTTATTCAGATTTAGAATTGGCTGAGGATACAATTACTAATATTATAGTGGACATAAAATAAAGAGAAACAACAATAGGAAAATCCACTTCAAATTCGAAGGAAGTAGTTTTACTAGAGGAAGATCTTATAGAAATCATAATCAAACTTCAGGAAATCATAATTAAATTAGACGATAACAAATGCATTACAATTGAAGATATAAAAAAATATATGAAGGAGTATAAATTAGGAAAATCAAGTCCATTAGCAATCATGACACCCTACAAACATCTGTGACTTATATTGACGAACAAATCATTAAATTAAATGATTTACTAGCCGTAATTACAATTGAATCCAGAGATCGAAGAAAATATAAAAAATGATTAAAATCATTCTTGACTATAGTAGACAAAACGCCTGTACAAATTATACAAAAACTGAGACTGGTGATCAACCTGAAACATCACGAAAATGTGATTTCAATGACTATAGAGATGATCAACTATTTTTTGATGAATACATATATAAAAATTCATATACACGTCATATAGGTGGATGATGGAGTAAAATACCTCAATATTACATACCAAAGTATTCCACCACTAGTTTTAACAGTCCTAATATTTTAGATCTTGAATGTTGCGCTAATCTATTAAAATAATTAGAAGACTGGAAAAATCGAACAAGATTATTAATACAAAATAATGAAGATCTAAAGAAATTGCAACCTAGAGAATAGGAGCATTTTGAATGTTTAACTTCTTAATTTATAAAACGATAGGAGCATTTTATCATTATCTCAACAACATGAATATTCTAGGTAAGACAATTTATATGGAACAACAGATGCTACAAATATCTTTGATTTTTTTTTAAATTCAATAACTTATGAATTCTTAGTAAGACATCCTCGAAAAAATAAATCAAACACAACCATAAACCAACAGGTTATTTGGAATTTAACTAATCTTAGAATATACAACATGTGTTTCTCGATACCATTTATTTGTAAATTCATAGCACACTATTATCTGGTTATCCCTTCAATAAGAAAATACCTAGATAAATTACTCTATGCTAAATTACCACCAATAATTTCTGAAAGAGCCGAAGCTATTTTTAATGAATCTTTGTCAAAAGATGAAATACCATATGCATTAGGAGGATGAATATTAGTATTACAAGAATGACATATAAGTGCTTGTAATGAGAAAAAAATTGAAAAAACAAGCTAAGATCAAACTCTATTATGTAAAAACAATGGATAGAGTTGGGAAATATGGTTGTAATGATGATCATAAGATAATTATTTATTATTTCTGAATTACAACGTCACTAAGTTAACGGTCAACTTTGAGAGTTGACTGCCACATCATCCAAAGTTAACGGAGTTGGACGGAGAGTGACCAAACGTGAATGGTTTCAATAAACTGAAGTACCACCGATGGATTTAAATATTTTGAGTGACCAAACTTGAACGTTTTTTGTAATCTCAGTGACCAACCATGCAATTAACCCATTAAAAATGGAGAAAATAACTTATCAAGAATATAGGGAAAATACGTTTAGAAAACCTAATAAATATTTCAAAGATAGAAAACTGTTTAAACAGAAAACGAAACAACAAGAATATTGTCCTAAAAGGAAAACCAATCGTAGATGTTGGTTTTATAATGAAGAAGGACATTACGCAAATAAATATACTAAGAAAAATACTAATATTAGAAAACAAAAAGTCCTTAGATTAGCTTATGGTTGTGGTTTTGGACCAATAAAAAAATGGATTTTGAACTATCCGATGTAGAAATTATTGAATACATTTCAGACTAAGAGACTTCTTCAGATAAGTAGAAGAAGGTATTAACTAAGTAAAATCCTAATGCAACATTTATTAAAATAGAAATATAAGAGAAAAACTTTCTAGCATATAAAGATACAAGAGAAACCCTATGCTTTGCCAATAGATCAACCATTAAAAAATGGGATAAACTAGAAAAATTTCTAAAAATTGTGGTAGCAGATAAATCTATTCATTAAGTCTGGTATGTAAAACAGTATGTATAGATAATCATTGAAAAATATATCTTTACAGCCAAAACAATTTATCAACATGACTCGGGATTAATTATAATTATAGGAAATAAATTTTTAGAATTATATCAACCATTTATCCAGGGAATTAAAACTATTAGTCTTAGATGTCTTAAAATGAAAAATCAGGAATCTAAAATTATCACAACCAGAATAATCACTAAAAATGAAGTATTAAAAGGTCAGACATGGTTTAGAAGTTTAGATGATAAATCAGGATATTGGTAGCTTCAATTACATGAAAATACCAAACCATTAATAGCTTTTTCATGTTCACCACAAAAGCACTATGAATGGAATTTTCTTCCATTCGGATTGAAGCAAACATCGACTATTTATCAACGATTTATGGATCATATTTTAGATGGTTTTCAATCATTTTGTTTGGCATATATTGATGATATCATCCTTTTTACTAACCAATAAGAAGAAGATCATCGTGAGAAAATTTGATGATTTTACAAAGAATAAAAGAAAGAATGTCTAATTATTAAAAGAAGAAGGCAAAGTTTCTTCAAAAGGAAATTGAATATTTTGCTATGGAGATTAACAATTTCGGTGAAATTGAGTGGTCACCAAATACAAAAGAAAAAATCATTAAATTTCCAAAGCAGCTTGAAAATTAAAAAAATTCAATTATTCCTTGGATGTGTAAATTATATTAGTGAACAAGGATATTTAAAAGACTTAGCAAAATAAAGAAAACATTTACAGAAAAAGATTTCTGACAAAATCCCTTGGTCATGGAATGATCAAGAGACAAAAATAGTTTTATTAATGTAAGAAAAATATCAGCATTTACCGAAGTTATATAACCCTTGTGAAAGGAGTTTTTAATAATTCAAACAGATGTCTCTAAGGACACTTGTACAGGATGCATGTTAGTCATACCAAATGGCAAGGAAATATTTTGGATAGACAATTTTGGTAATATTAGAATTGACAATGATGATGCTCTTGTCTCTGGCTCAAAGCCTAAAGATTTTCAGTCTACGAACAATATTATTGAATCTTCGCATTCTCAATTATCAGTTCCTTTCCACAATGATAAATATTCCAAGAAACTATGTAAACATATTTCTGGAACATTCACCACCACCGTACAGAACTATCGAATCCATGAATTAGAGATACTAGCTTGTCTCTGAGCATTGAAAAAAATGAAAGTTAGAATTATTATCAATAAGGTTTGAACTTCAAACCGATTCCAAATATGTTACAGGTTTCTGGAGGTACAAGCTACAAGCAGATTTCAACAAAGGGAGATTAATCAAGTGGCAACAACAACTCCATTATTACAATCATTATCTAAAGTATATCAAGTCGAGCAATAATCGTTCACTGACACACTAACTCGAGAATGGAAGGATTTATAATGACACTCATCAATCAGCTAAAGTAGAAGCAGGAAAAGAGTGTAGCATTGGAACAACAACTTCTCCTTCGCAGGGGGAAGGAAGAAGTTATAATTCATTCAATCAATGTTATTCAGCAACAGTTAAAAATCGACATTAGTACTCTGTCAATTAGCTCTGCTAATGGACAATCATCGACACCTACCAAAGAACCTATTGAAAAAGAAAAAGTCAGCATCAACACAGTCATCAACTACTACCAGTAATAATACACAAAAGACGACACGATGGCCAGACATCGTTGAACAAGAAGAAAAAGAAGGAAAAGATTCACACTATGAAGAAGAAGACAAGAAAGATAGAAAGTGGTATGTCATATTCAATGAACCATGTCGAGGAGTATATCACAACTGGGCTATCGCTAGTCAACACATCAATGGCAAACCGATCCAACATCAATAATTTAAAACCAAAGAAGCATTTAGACAATTATATAAAGTGATGGCAATGAAAGAACCAGTCAAGAATAAAGAACAATAATCGCAGAAACTTATCATGAAGATACCCAGTATCAAAAGCATTTCAACCACCAAAGAAAAAGAAGAACAATTAAAAGCGGTCTTTCAGAAGTTCGTATTCAACTGGGATACGATAATCAACTACGCAAAAAACACACAACTATGGGTATTTACCCCGCCACTCGAGGAGGACCCAAAGTAGTAATACATAAGAAGCATCAGCAGAACTCTCTTTTGAGATCCATCGGTATGGATTAATCGACACTATCTACACCACAACCATGAAGGTATTTGAATACTTTCCACAAAGGATGAGAAACGTGAACAGAAGATATCTTGAGCTATTCGCCAAAGAACGAGAAATATTTCTCAACAAGCAGCTACCCCATATTCGATTAAGAGAAGCTATTGGTCATATCAAAGGCAGTTATCCTTATGGGAGTATCAAATCATGATTATCCTACTAGAGATGACCTTCGAAATTATGAGAAGAACCTAGACTTCCAAGTAAAGGGTATTTTGAGCAGTATGTAGTATATTAACCAAGATTGAACCAGAAAGTCAGATCAAAGTCAATTACAGCAGCCCCGAAGCCATCATCACCAGCAAAACCAGAGGAAACATGACCAAAGAAGATTGGACAGTCATAATAGAAAAAATTAAAGAATTCACTGAAATTAGTGTAAGTCGGTCAGCTCTTCCCATCCAAATCAAGAAACAGTTGTGCAATGCACTTAGCATCTATGAGAACCACTTCTATGTGTGGTGTGCATCAAATGAAGAAGACATCAATAGACCTACAGACCAAGACTGAGAGATGCATGTGAAGAAAGAGAAATGAATAAAAAAACATAGGATAAAACGACAAGAAAAGGTTGACCGACTCCTTTAAAAAAGTCTTGCACTATTGTATTTTACAAGCTTTTGTATCGTTTCATGTGTTTTCTTTTGACGTGTTAGCTTTACGTTTCTGTCTCACAAACGTAAGCAATGACGTCTTTGTATCTCCTCTCAACTCTATAAGAGCATAAGTTTGCAATGAAATAAGGAGATAGAGTTTGACCATAAAAATTGCATGTTTACTCTCTCCCTCTAACTTGCTAGTTGTAAGGCTTGGATCCTCTGATCCTGGAGGCCACAAACATCGTCAATATAATCAAACATACGGAGAGAATCAGCAATCATCAGGCTATCAAAAAACTCAGGGTTTCCTCAGAAGAGCAAATCAGGTTGGGTCGAGATGCGCACTTTTTTGGTTGGCTCAGTTGGGTCGAGTGCGACTTCGAAGTCGGAATCCATAGACTTTGGGCGCGGCTCCTCCGCTCCTGTACCGATTATGTTGGTTTGGCGCATGGGTTATACCTCCATTGCTACGCTCTAATGCAATAGAAATCGGGTGCGGCTCCTCCGGCTCTCTCCCTCTAACTTGCTAGTTGTAAAGCTTGGATCCTCTGATCCTGGAGGCCACAAACATCGTCAATATAATCAAACATACGGAGAGAATCAACAATCATTAGGCTATAAAAAAAACTCAGGGTTTCCTCAGAAGAGCAAATCAGGTTGGGTCGAGATGCGCACTTTTTTTGTGGCTCAGTTGGGTCGAGTGCGACTACGAAGTCGGAATCCATAGACTTCGGGCGCGGCTCCTCCGCTCTTGTATGATTATGTTGGTTTGGCGCATGGGTTGTACCTCCATTGCTACGCTCTAATGCAGCCCGCGCTATTCCCCGGTTCCTACTTTGGTGGGGAACTTGAGTTTCTAGTGGCATGTGGATGGTAGGGCCATGAATTTGGCGAGGAACGCTCGTCCCAGGATGCCATTGTGGGGTGAATTGTTGTCCACAATGGTGAAATCAACTTGTTTTGACACTCGTGGTTCCTGGTCTCCAATCACGACAGGTAGCGTTATTGCTCCTATTACCGCCACTCGTGTTCTTGAAAACCCCACTAAATTTCCCTGTGCGTGTTTGATCATGTGTGGGTCGATGTCCATCTGATCCAAGGTGCTTTTGAACATGATGTCGCTGCCTCCATTTATCAACAGGCGATAGAATTTGCACGCAACTATCAAAGCGGTGATGGTAAGGGGATCTTTTGATGGTATTCCCTGTGGGAACTCTGCGTCGTCAAAACTCATGTTACACTTTGGTTGCGCATCAATTGTCGCGCACTCCATTGCTCGGTCATGCTTTGTCTTCTTCTTTGGCTGATCTCCCTCGATCGTTACAGCACATATTTCTTTTCGTACTATGTACGAACCGGTAATTTCGTTGTAGTCGAGTTGTGGGGGTGGTGGTGGTCTTGCATCTTGTTCCTTCTGTTCTTTCGCTCCGCGGACACATTCGGACAAGAACCCTCTTCGGATAAGCGCTTCGATTTCAACTCGAAGGTTCACACAATCTTCCTTCAGGTGACCTGCTTCTCTGTGGAAGTCACAATGTTTCCTGTGGTCGCGCATATGAGGTGCGACTCTTACTGACGCGGGCCAATTGAGACGGTAGCCTTTTTCGCGAATGAGGTGAAATACATTCTTGACTGTATCATTGAGGGGTGTAAAGGTGTTTGACGGACGCATGTCCGGGGAGCATCTACGCGTTGCTTGCTCCGGCGGGGCGAGTGGCCGACTTGCTCCGTTGTGGCATTGTGCAAGTTGTTCGAGTGGTATCGGGAGTTGTCTGCGCGTCTGTTCCTCTCTGATTGGTCTTGACGGCTCGAAGCGTCGTACAGATCCCAGGCCGAAGGTTTCTCTAGGGTGATGGCTTTATTGATTTTGATTTCTAGCTCCATCAAGAGCGTGACTGGTCTTTTTGCCAATGCTCATTTCAGTTCCATATTAGTGGTGGCTTCCATGAGGTGATGGGCGGCAGTTTCGAGTGTGAGGTCTCGCACATCCATGGCGACTATTGACCATCTGGCGTAAATTAGTGACCCATAAAACGATATTTTTTCTTTCTTTTTTTCGTTGAATTAAAAAAAACAAATGTGAAATATTTATATTATTTGGGTGAACGCATGTAATTTAGCCCGATAAATGGAGATGTGATGAGATATAAGCCAAAACATAAACAATTTTGGCAAAATTAAATATTATTATTCAAACTTAATTAAGCCTCTGTGTTCTCTCTTTCTTATTTTCGCCAAAAGCAAATTGGCGAATTCGAATCAAAGCAGGAATTATTACCAGAGGGTAATAATGCAGCAGCAGTAGCCGCCTGAAAAGCGGAAGAATTGAGCGCTCCTCAGCTACCCCCAAGGCTTTGCTGTAAAAAAATATTCACAGTATAACCAATCTCCTAAGGCTAAAACCAACCAAGTAAAAGGTAAAAGAAAAGAAAAAAAAATGATTCTTCCACAGATTCCAACGGGTCGAATTAGTGGAAGGCATCTGCAGTGAAGGAGGAGAGGAAGTAAGGAGGCGACGGCGATTAGTTATGCCGGCGGTCAAAGGTACTGAGAATGTGAGGCAGCGAGAAGGGCAGCACCAATCCCTGAACCATCGTTGGCATGAATAACCTCTACGGTTTTGGAAACTTCCTCCCCAAGCAACTCTGTGAGGGTGTTCTCCAAGCACTTGCTGTACTCGTTGTAGTGCTCGTACAATCCACCATCCATGGCAATCACAGTCTTCTGCTGCACTTCGCCTTCTTTGGCTACGTCCTTCCCCATCTTCCTCAGGATAGCTACGACCCCAGCAGCAGCGAGCCGGGAACCACGTGTGGCGATGATGTTGCACACTTCAACAATCACCTTCCTTGTTTTCAGCGACGTGCTCGTTATCTGAAACACAACAGAACATGAATAAAAAAGCATCCACCATATATATTTTCTGCAAGTAAAATACACCTCTTTAGTTGTAGTCAAAGTGCCCAGGTAGCAGAAGATACCTCTAGAATGTCTTTCAATTTACTAGCTACTACTTTAAGATCCGAGGATGTGTCATGGTGCATTGCTGACATGTCAGGCGTTCTGCGTAATGTGAAATCATTATTGACAATGGGTAGTTACCAAACTAAATATGATTACTACGTTATTATAATAAATATCATAACCTAGGACCATAAAGCACTTCAATATCGCCTGGTAGATGAAAAACTTCAAGACTTGATGGCATGAACATGCGAAATAAGAAAGTTAGATATACCAGTTAACCAATACTTACCTCAGTATAAAGGGAACTTTGAGTTTAGATGGCACAGTTTCACCGAAAAAGGAAGCTTCTTCAGCCATCTTTAAGAGCGCACGGCGTACGATTTCCCCCAAGTACATACCGGAAATTAACTTCTCAAAAATCTGCAAAACACAAATTAATTACATAACTCCTAGACCATAATGCTCGCGAAGAAGAAAGAATAATATATATAGTTTCGAATTACCTGTTCACCAGGGTTCAAGCTGTCACCATCCAGTGAATTATCAAACTCGGTTAAAGGAAGATGAGATGACTTAAAATTGCCCCATTCCATATTGATAACCTATACATTTCAACAGTAAGATTCATGAACTTATTATTGTAAAGCTATGATATAACTTGCTCAGACAAACGCCAAGTTATACCATTTCGCCTGATTTAGGTAGAGCACCATGCCATTTTGGTATAGCTTGTGCCCGCTCCACGTAAGCAGCATTTGTTCCTGTGCCCAAGATAACAGCAGCAGCAACATCCTTGTTGGTGTATCTGCCTCCAGCTAGAGTTCCAACTGTATCATTCACCTATAACCAAGACTATAAATAATTAAACTGACAATTACAGAGTTTTGATTCTCCAATGGTATAATTCACATCTCACAATTCGTCCTTCTATTTTTGACAGAATGATTGATAATGCAGGGCTCATGTTGACAAAAAAATGCATGACTTGCGAAAGAGGGGATCAAGAAAGCATTTTTAATGATAAAAGAAGAATTACCAGAGCAGAGACATGCATTTCCAGGTTCTGCCTCTTCATGGCTCTGCTTAACTCTGTCACAACATCTTGACCAACCTAGTTACCAGGAACAGAGATGTGTCCACATAACACTTCATTAGATTAACGACTCACAAAGAGAGGAAGACAAACAGTGTATACTCCACAGAACAGAAATAGTTAAAAACCAACCAATTCATCAATGGAAAATCCCTTTGTCCACCGAACCAGAGTCCCAGAAGCAATGGAAGTTTGGTTGACAGGGAATGAGAAGGTGAACCCCAACTCTCTCTTCCTCCCCGGTGGAAGCTCGTGCTCTTGACCTTCTTGAGCAACAAATTTCGCGAGCTCTGCCGCGATATAGTCGAAGAGCGCCTGAAACCAATAACAAATGATTACCACACGAAAACAGCACAAAAAGCACTGTTTGAAACAAGGACATGAACACCACTGTATTTGTGGGCTACTGAAGGTTAGCACTTACATCTGCCGCCCCAGTCATCAATTCAGGAGGGATTGGCACCTCGGCAAACTCTTGATTAACAATTCCACCGTTTAGGCCTCCTAAATGCACCCGTAGCACTCGGAAATTCGTTCCACCAAGATCCAAAGCATAGTACAGCCCAGACTCATGACTTGAACAAGAGAAGAATCGCGAAATAAACTCAGTTATGAAGGAACAGATGTCAACCCAAACTTGTTCTTCCTTTTCTAAACAGAATATTAAAATCCCAGGCAGGCGTGGAATTCATTCGTAGGCAATGCTTTAGGTCACCACGGTAGCAAAAAGGTTTCACAGAAACAGAAAGCCAATTCGGAAAATGAAAAGAACCAGTGCTACTTTTCTGGGGAATAATTCTATCTGTAAACCATCCGTATCGCTAGAAAGTAAGAATCCTAACTGCATTCCTATGAACAGACTTTCAACTAAATCAGCTCCACAGAGGAAGGAAGAGCGCAACAGGTAACCAACCGGTGGCAATTAAGCTCAGCCATGACCATTGAACTAATCAGGAATCAGGATCCGGAGATCACTTGGAATGTTCCCAGATTCAAATCGGATCTATCGAGAATTGGGATCAGGGATTCAAATTGAGCATAGATAGATAAATGATGAGAATTGGAAAATCAAATCGGAAGGAATTGTATAGATACCCGGTGGGCAAATTGTCAACGTAGCTGATAAGCATCTTGAGCTTGCTGCCACCTTGAGATGCAAGACCAGCATGCATCTCGACGACCATGGCATCGGCGACCTGCTTGAGCTTGGCAGTTGGCGTCCCGCATTTCTCCTCCAGCTCCTTGACAATCTCCATCGCCCGCCCCCACTTTCCGTCCTTGTTCATCTTCTTCCGCAGAACCACACCGGCAGCCACCGCGCCGGCCACCGCCGCCACGCAGACCACCGTCACCACCACCTTCTTCTCCATTGGCCCCCGAAATAATTTTGACAGAACCAGATGCAGGAAGAGACGGCAAAAACAAACAAAATCGCTTATGGAATGACTTGGAAAGTGATCGAATGTTGCAGCGAAGAAACAGAGAGGGAAATTTGGATTTTGTTGGAGAAAGAATGGGATCTAATCTGAGAAAGAGGAAGCAGCGGAAAAAGGGTGGGAGAAAGATGTTTATTTGTTCTTCAAGGATTGGATTGGGCTCTTCTCTTGGCTTGGGAGGGGAAGGGAGTGTTTGCGACTAATTTTTATTTATTATTTTAATATCGAGTCTGGTAGTTTGTTATTAGTTTGGTTTGTCTGTATGTATAGTATATCAATGTGTGTTTGGGAGCAGTGAGGGAGGTAATGATGGGATATGATGATGTGTATGTGTCGCAATGTGCACACCACCCCCTCATGAATGATTTTCTTGCTTTGCACACGTGTCGCGTGAAGGTCAACTCCCTCGTTTAGTCAAAAAAAAAAAAAAAAACGAGAATTTCTCACTCTTGTAATGGATTCTAAAATATATAGATTCTAAAAAAATAAAATATATATGGACACTAACATTTCAAATATATATATATATGGTGACTACTTCGGTGCACCCACAAAAATGAGTGCGTTCAATGCATCCAACTCAAAAACTAGTCTTAAGGTATCGAACTTTTTTGGGTGCACCCGCCTCGTTATTGTCATTCTGAGCATGCGATTCATGTCAAAACGGTATCAATTGTTGCTTATGATATTATGAACAAGAAGCACATGAATTTGGAAAAAAAATCATTCAGAATTTACTTAAATTCAAAGGATTTACGATTTAGGGTTAGGGTTTAGGTTTACAATTTGGGATTTTGGGTTGGGATTCAAAATTGAAGGTTAAGGGGTTAGGGTAATAGATTGATTTGTTATGATTCTATGTCATATCATCATATTAGATTGAGAGTACTAATTCAAGTTCAAAATTCGATGTATTATGGACACCTTTAGAGAGTGCACCAAAAAAAGTGAGTGCGCCGAAGTAGTCACCATATATATATATATATATATGAATACTAACAAACCATACCAAAGGTAAGATAGTCTAACGGTAAATCTGCCACGACGGTGAAGGCTTGAGAGTTGCAGATCCCAGATTCGAATCCAAGCGAGGCCCGTTGGTGTTCCCGGAGGTACAAGATTGCTCGGGACGAAGCCCCATTGACATTGAATTTAATTGTAGGTGGCCGCAAGATTTAGTAGGACTCGTTGTCACACAAAGTGACACGTGCCGCTGAGATTCTTGGATAATTAAAAAAATACTAACGAATCATAGAGACGAGCTCGTTAAAGCTCGTTAAAGAGACATCTATTCTAGAGTGTAGATATCATGAATTGGGCTTAGAAAGCACTTGGATCGTATTCCAGAAAGAAAAAAAGAAAGCCCTTGGATCAAAATCATTGATTGGTAATTTATCGTCCCTTGATTTTTATTGAAGTATGAATAAAAAAATTAGCTTGGTGATCAATCACGGTTTTCAGTTTTGCAGAGTAATTCATAAAATTGTCTAAATGCATGTTGTGAGTGGATGGCAATTTGTCAATTCCGATTTGACTTATTTTATCCGACTTGTTTAACATGTTTTGGGGCGGGATAGACATGGGTACTCTTATCGATTCGATCTATCATGACTCTTCTCATTATTGACCCGTTGTTGTCTAATTTACATATAATCGTCGTCAAATTACTTAGGATTTTCCTTTAATTACCTCAAATTTCATCTATCAAAGGTTGTAAATAAGTGAAAAGCTCAATTTCTCCAATTATTTAACTACGTTTATCATATTATGGTTTATTTCTTGGTCTTCTAAGGAAAACAACCAATATTTCTAATGTTTTCCGTATAAATTACATACTCATTGAGTCGATCTGCCCCGACTTGCACCCTATCATAAATTATCCGACCTGGACCCAACCTGTCACGGAACGAATATGGGTATCAAGATAACCATACAAAGTTGTCCTTTGCCATTCCTAGTCCCAAATTATAATAAATGTTATTATCCATTTTGTTCCTCACAGAATTCATGGCTCAAGTTAGTGGGCTCAAGTTGGCTCAACCCTTGGTTATGCACCTTAGCATAACTAATTTGGACTTTCCTTTTTTAGTGGGTTCGAAAAATTCAAATCTAAAGACTGAGAATTAAAGATATTTTATTTTTACTAGTTTTCTTAATTGACTCTTATCTTATTCGTTCTAATTTGGATTTCAAATTTTTTTGCACTGATGAAACGAGTTTGTTGAGCTCAACAAAATGAGAACCAATTTTCAATATCTTTTTAGAAAAAAATTCAAACCTCTCGTTACCAACTCCATACCATATGGTATCTCCTTCATTTTTAAGTCATTTTTGAAAAAAATTGCACAGAAGGAACGAGTTCATCATGATTTATTAGAATTAAAAATTTCTGAGTGAAGAAAATAGAGGATCAAAAAATACTACACAATACCACCCTGGTATGGGGTGGTATCTTGTGGTACACAATATTGAAAGTCGTAACTGACAGTTAGTATACTTTTACTATCATGTATTCAACCATCCTACAGTCTTATTATGTTCATACCACTATGGTATGTTGTTCATACCATATGGTATTCTCTTATTTTAATATTAATCAATCTTTTTTTTTCGTTGAATCAGTTACTCTTTTATTGCTCCAAAAAGAGACCACTTGCAAAGCACAAATAGCCAACCAATACAACGAAAGGAAAGCTCGGAATGAGCAGCCCTGGAAAAGAAAGATCCTCTACCCCAAACATTTCCTCCACAAAACAACCCGTAACACAAATGCTACCAATCCCCTAAGTACTCTCCATCAGTCCTAGTACCCTCAATCCTTCTAACAAATCATCATTATCTCTACAAACAATTTGCAGTTCGGCAGTAACCTCACGAACTAATTCCTTAACAGGTTTACTTATAGCACCATAAACACGCATGCACCTTTCTTTCCATACTCCAGCGCTGCATAAGAACCAGATCAGACTGGTCACTCTTCCCAACTTTGCCTTGCTGCAACTAGTAATACCTGCAGCAACAGTAGCTTCCCAAGAGCCACAACAAAATACTCCCATATGCAGTGTTGAAACAACTTGGCTAGAGTAAATACATTTAAAGAACAAGTGCTCTCGGGTTTCCACTTCATCACCACAAAACATGCATAAACCATTAGTCTGCTTACCCCATTGCATCAGTTTTTGTTTAGTAACAATGCCATTCATCATGATCATCCAGGCCAAAAAACTATTTTTGGGAATATGATTCTTCCCCCAAATAAGCTTTGCCCAATCCACCACCTCATATTTAATACGCAAGGTATTCCAAACCACAGAGACTTTAAACGCAGGCATAGGGTTGTTGTCCCAAAGAATTTGATTGTTCCTCATCAATAGATGAGGTTGGACCACAGGGCGTAGCTTGAGGATACGCCTCCAAGCCCAGGAACTGCTCTGACTGGCAGGTACAGTCCATATGCTTCTGTTCTTGACCTTATACTGCTGGAACCAAGCCACCCAAATGGCTCCACTTTTCATCAAGAATAACCAGATGAACCGAATAGTACAGGCTTTGTACCAGGCAGTAAGCTCACGTAAACCCAAACCCCCTTCCTTGCGAGGCCTAGCCATATGCTCCCAACTCACTTTAGCACGCCCTTCTTCCCCCCCCCCCCCCCCCCCCCCCCCCCCCTTGCTAGAGAAAATGGGAGCAAACTAATTGAACCTGCTTAATCACTCTTTTGGGCAGAATGAAGATCTGCATCCAATATTGAAGAGTCCCCATCAAAACCGATGTTACTAGCTGCAGCCTTCCAGCATAGCTAAGTTTCTTTGATCTCCAGGAATGGATCTTCTTCATGATAAGGGCCACCAGCTTATCAGTCTCGTTAGATGGTAGCTTCCCTGAGATTAGGGGCATGCCAAGATACCTAACAGGTAAAATCTCTTTTGCAAAACCTGAAAGCTGCAAAGCTTTTTGTTTAAACTGCATAGACTTCCCACCAAAATACACCTCACATTTTCATGGATTACACTTTAGCCCAGAGATAGTGTGGAACTCCTGCAATATGCCCTGAACCCTCTGAATAGCCTGGCCTGACCCCTCTGTGAATATAAGGAGATCATCTGTAAAGCACAAGTGGGTTAACCCCACTCTCTTACACTGAGGGTGGAAAGTCAATTCCCCTGCTACTGCAGCTCGATTCAAAGCAGTGATAACCCCTCCGTCGCAATCGTAAATATATAGGGTGAGAGGGGATCCCCCTGTCTCACCCCCCTTTGCGCCCCAAAGAAACCACACAGTCCACCATTAATGCAGATACTGAATTTTGCAGTTTTAACACACAGTCTAATCCAGTAGATAAACCTCTGAGGAAACCCCATAACTTCCATCATGAGAAACAAGTATCCCCAGTGAACAGAGTCAAACGCTTTCATGAGATCAACTTTTATAGCACAGCGAGAAGAAAGATTGCTTTTATGATAACCACTTACTAGTTCTTGAGCCATTAGAATATTATCAACAATTCTCCTCCCTTCAATAAAAGCAAACTGGTTTCCACTAACCACACTAGCCAAAACCTTTTTAAATCTGTTTGCTAACAACTTAGCAATGATTTTGTAGAGAATATTCACACAGGACCTCGGCCTAAATTCTTTCAACTTACAAGCAGAAGCCACTTTTGGTATCAAAGACACAGAGGTGGAGTTACTTGTAGTGAAGAAATCCAGTACCCCAGCAGTCACATCCTCTCCAATAATCCCCCATGTGCGCTTGTAAAAACCAGCAGAGAACCCATCAGGGCCATGGGCACGATGAACACTCATGTCAAACACAACTTTCCTCACATCATCAGCTGCTCCACTTATTGTCACTTCTACCATGGACCCCGGGGATTGATGTTGAAGATTTGGGGAATAAAGCTCTTCCTATCTGGGTTAGGTTTACAAATGTGTCGCTGGAGTATATAAACTTTCAGGGTCTCAGTCGGATGGGTAGTTGGCTGGGGATCCCGCTGGGTGTTGATCACACAACGAGGATGGGGGGTCGTCTTGGATGTGTGAAGGCTCTTGTGGAGTTGAAAGCATCTGTTGAGTTCCCTGATCATGTTCTTGTATAGCCAACAGATGATCGTTCAATTCGGGTGGGTGTGGCTTATAGCCATCTCCCTCCAATCTGTGGGCACTGCCAATCCTTTGTTCTTAACTGTGGTTGTGGGAAGAATGAGCGTGTTCAGAAGGATAAGGGGATCCAAGACAACAGGAATGTGGAACGTGTTTGGGTAAAGAAGAAGGCTGGTGGTGGCAGGGCTAAGGGAACTCCTAATCATAATAGTGGTAGTCCAGTCACGATGAATAAGGGGAAGAGTGTTGTGTCTGAAAATGGCTCTGTGCAACATTCTAGTCTTTTGATTGGGTCTAACTGCGTTGGTATTAACCTGGAGCATACCTTTCAGTCAATTGCATAATGTAGTTCACCAAAGCTTCCAACGGAGGATGAGTTTCAAAAGGTTGTTAATGAGGAAAAGCCTAGATGTTGGTCACCACTCCCTAGCCCTACCAGTGTGTTGCAGATGTCACATTCGTTTGATGCCCTGAAGGGTTTGGGAGATGGGGAGATTACACAACTACAAGCGGCTCCTAAGAAGGGTGTAAAGAAAGGTGGGGTCCCCAATCCCCTCCACCAGGATGAAGGTTTTATTATGGAACGTTAGAGGGTTTAACAAGCCCTCTAAGAGAAGGGACTTCTCACAAGTCCTGAGGAAGTACAAGGTGGAGGTGGTAGCTATTCTGGAGACTAGGGTAAGGAAAGCAAAGTCTGATGAAACTATAGTGGACTTCTGTGTAGTGTGGAAGAAGTATCTCAATTATTTTGAAAGTGATCTTGGGAGAGTTTGGTTATACTGGGATCCTGATATTGAACTTAGAGTTCTTGATCCTAGGAAGAATTATGTGCATTGTGTGGCTCGTAAGGTGGGTGGTGCTAGTTGTTTCATTACAGCTGTGTATGCTTCAAATGATGAGACCGAGAGACGAGATACTTATAGGGACCTGGCTAGGTTCAAACTTTCTTCAGCCCCTTGGATAGTTGGAGGGGACTTTAATTTGTCTTATCCCCAGTGGAAACTTCAAATCTGACTTTGTTGAATAGTTGTACGATGGATTTCAAAAGCTGGGTTGATGATATGGAATTAGTGGATCATCGATCAAATGGGCCTTTCTTCACTTGGACAAACAGGCAAAAGGGAAATCCTATTGCTGGAAAGCTTGATCGAGCTCTTGTTAATGAGGCTTGGTTTGACGCTTTTCCTAATTGTGTTATTGAGATCTTAGTGGGGACCTTTCTTCACCAGGGCAAAAATCACTCCCTAAGCCATTTAAGTACCTTGAACTCTGGGCTGGTCATCCTGATTTCTTCAAAATTGTGAAGGAGGGATGGTCTACTCCTGCTCAAGGGAATCCACTACTGGTTGTAAAAACCAAACTTAATGCTGTCAAGAATGGGCTAAAGAGGCTAAATAAGGAAGTGTTCAATGATATAAGTGGTCAGGTGAAAGAGGTAGAATGTAAACTGCTTGCTGCTCAAGAGTTGGCTTTGTCCAATCCATCTGGTGCTTCCTTCACCGAGGTAGAAGATTTTAACAAGCATCTTGAGAATTTGAAAAAGGTGGAGGAAATTTTTTATTGGCAAAAATCTCGGGTTAACTATTTGAAGCTTGGGGATCAAGGTACCGGATTCTTTCACCAATCTGTTAAGATCAAAACTGCCCGAAAGGCTATAAGGAAGCTAGTGCTCGAAGGGGGTGAGGAGGTAGTGGAGATGGACAAGATTTCTGATGAGGCGGTTGATTTTTATAAGAAACTGTTTGGCTTCATTGATCCTAAGGTGCAGCCCTGCAAGCAGTATCTGGAGGATCTTGTGAAGCTTAAGCTCAGTGTTGAGCAGAGGGATTTATTATGCCAAGGTTTCACAGCTGATGATGTGAGGAAAGTTGTGTTTGACATGAGTGTTCATCGTGCCCATGGCCCTGATGGGTTCTCTGCTGGTTTTTACAAGCGCACATGGGGGATTATTGGAGAGGATGTGACTGCTGGGGTACTGGATTTCTTCACTACAAGTAACTCCACCTCTGTGTCTTTGATACCAAAAGTGGCTTCTGCTTGTAAGTTGAAAGAATTTAGGCCGATTTCCTGTGTGAATATTCTCTACAAAATCATTGCTAAGTTGTTAGCAAACAGATTTAAAAAGGTTTTGGCTAGTGTGGTAAGTGGAAACCAGTTTGCTTTTATTGAAGGGAGGAGAATTGTTGATAATATTCTAATGGCTCAAGAACTAGTAAGTGGTTATCATAAAAGCAATCTTTCTTCTCGCTGTGCTATAAAAGTTGATCTCATGAAAGCGTTTGACTCTGTTCACTGGGGATACTTGTTTCTCATGATGGAAGTTATGGGGTTTCCTCAGAGGTTTATCTACTGGATTAGACTGTGTGTTAAAACTGCAAAATTCAGTATCTGCATTAATGGTGGACTGTGTGGTTTCTTTGGGGCGCAAAGGGGGGTGAGACAGGGGGATCCCCTCTCACCCTATATATTTAGGATTGCGACGGAGGGGTTATCACTGCTTTTGAATCGAGCTGCAACAGCAGGGGAATTGACTTTCCACCCTCAGTGTAAGAGAGTGGGGTTAACCCACTTGTGCTTTACCGATGATCTCCTTATATTCACAGAGGGGTCAGGCCAGGCTATTCAGAGGGTTCAGGGCATATTGCAGGAGTTCCACACTATCTCTGGGCTAAAGTGTAATCCATGAAAATGTGAGGTGTATTTTGGTGGGAAGTCTATGCAGTTTAAACAAAAAGCTTTGCAGCTTTCAGGTTTTTCAAAAGAGATTTTACCTGTTAGGTATCTTGGCATGCCCCTAATCTCAGGGAAGCTACCATCTAACGAGACTGATAAGCTGGTGGCCCTTATCATGAAGAAGATCCATTCCTGGAGATCAAAGAAACTTAGCTATGCTGGAAGGCTGCAGCTAGTAATATCGATTTTGATGGGGACTCTTCAATATTGGATGCAGATCTTCATTCTGCCCAAAAGAGTGATTAAGCAGGTTCAATTAGTTTGCTCCCATTTTCTCTAGCAAGGGGGGGGGGGGGGAAGAAGGGCGTGCTAAAGTGAGTTGGGAGCATATGGCTAGGCCTCGCAAGGAAGGGGGTTTGGGTTTACGTGAGCTTACTGCCTGGTACAAAGCCTGTACTGTTCGGTTCATCTGGTTATTCTTGATGAAAAGTGGAGCCATTTGGGTGGCTTGGTTCCAGCAGTATAAGGTCAAGAACAGAAGCATATGGACTGTACCTGCCAGTCAGAGCAGTTCCTGGGCTTGGAGGCGTATCCTCAAGCTACGCCCTGTGGTCCAACCTCATCTATTGATGAGGAACAATCAAATTCTTTGGGACAACAACCCTATGCATGCGTTTAAAGTCTTTGTGGTTTGGAATACCTTGCGTATTAAATATGAGGTGGTGGATTGGGCAAAGCTTATTTGGGGGAAGAATCATATTCCCAGAAATAGTTTTTTGGCCTGGATGATCATGATGAATGGCATTGTTACTAAACAAAAACTGATGCAATGGGGTAAGCAGACTAATGGTTTATGCATGTTTTGTGGTGATGAAGTGGAAACCCGAGAGCACTTGTTCTTTAAATGTATTTACCCGGCACGGCCAGCCAAACCCTAGGCGGAACCCTGACTCGCCAAAAAATTGGGAGGATTTTCTCTCACTACTTTCTCACATCTCGCTTCCCTAATTATCAATCAATATTACCATGGTATAGACTGGTAAAAAATGCATCATTTTTTTGTTTAAAAAAATATAACAAAGTGAATATCATTTTGAGGAGCACAATTGATCGGATTTATCTGTGGAAAAAAATTCAACTTTAAAGGAATGAGAAATCGTCCATTAAAGATTAGAGATGAAATATTAAAGGCTTTTAAGGAAAGAAAAAAAGTGCTGATGTAATTCTGGTTGGGTTACTCATTATTACTCAACATAAAGTTACTAATACATCAGCTCTCAAATTATGAATTGCAAGGATTAATAAATAGGGTAGGGATGGGATGTGAATTAGTATATTCAGTTGGATTCCAACTCCAAGCCCTCTCTGTCTAGGGATGGCAACAAAACCCGAACCCACGGGTACCCGCTCGACCCAACCCGGTCAACGCGGGTAAAACCCATGTTGACGGGTTTTGGGCCGGTTTTAGGTTTAAATCCGCTACACTGTTCACCGGGTTGGGTTGGGTTGGGTTTGGGTTTAGGTAAACCCGCCCCATGGGTACCCGTCCACACTTATATAATTAATTTTTTCGGGTTATTTAATATTCTAAGCAATATATCTTCCTTAAAAAACTAATCTTCTTTATATTTGTGGAGACATGTCTAATTTTTTTTTCTAATTGTGTACAATTAAGTTGATATTATGGAGTGGAGAGTGAAGAAGCTTAGTTGACAAGGAGGAATGCGTTTTCAATTATCATGTTGTTTATAGATGTTTATCTTTAATTTGAACAATTTTTATTGATAATTTGCGGTCTCTAGATTAGTGTTATTTGTATGGATAATTTTTATGAGAAAATTGATGTTAGACTTTTATTTTGAAAGAAACTTGTTATTGTAAATTTTTTACCACAAAAATCCACGGGTACCCATGAACACGCGGATACTGTCACGACCCAAAATGTTGTGACAGTGTTGATTGTCTGAAGAACGTTGTCATCTGGTTGTCTTGCCATGAGAAGGGCAAAGGGGGCGACATTAGCGATAAGGCATTGTCTGCCTGTGCATCGTTTCTGGCCGAGTCAGGATGTGGCTATGAAGGAGATCGTTGCAAGAGAAGGCACAACTGGTCGGATGCTATTGCCGTCTCCCTGATGAGCCCAAGGTAGGGCGAAACCAGTTGGCATGCGTATGCAGAGAGGCTGGTCTTGAGGAATGAGTGCACCTCAAGACGCCCCACGGACTTCGGAAGTCTATGTCCGTGACAAGTGGTATCAGAGCCTGGTTAGGCTGAAGAGCCTAGTTCCTCTCTCAGTACGGCATAGGTCGTGTATGGGCCAACCCTATGCCCGAATGAGAGGCGGTCCTAGGTGAGCATATCAGGCGGTCCGGACGCAGATACACATGTGTTGCGCCGTTGTGGGGGACCTCGACAGGCTGAAGATGCAGCAGCCGAGAATGCCGTTCAACCGAGGAACTAACGCTAGCGAGAGTGTAGGATGAAGGTCGATTGAGGTACAAACGCTGGGAGTAGCGTAGGGTGAAGGCCGGCTGAGGTACTAGCGCAGCAGAAGCAAAGAGTGAAGGTTGATGGCGAGGGGTGAAGCGGTATGTACGCAGGGCACAGCAGGCTAGCGCGAGGACGCAACCAGAGCCTGTCCATCAGAGGATGGTATTGTATGCGGACGCCCACAATCGGTTCGAGAGTTGCAATGCATGCTGTGGAGAGAAGTATTCTTCACCAGCACGAGGACGTGCTGCATTATGAGTGGTGGAGAATGTCACGACCCGAAATGTCGTGACCGTGTTGATTGTCTGAAGAACGCTGCCATATGGTTGTCTTGCCATGAGAGGGGTAAAGGGGGCGACATTAGCGATAAGGCGTTGTCTGGCTGTGCATCGTTTCTGGTCGAGTCAGGATGTGGCTATGAAGGGGATCGCTACAAGAGAAGGCACAACTGGTCGGAGGCTATCACCGTCTCCCTGATGAGCCCAAGGCAGGGCGAAACCAGTTGGCATGCATATGCAGAGAGGCTGGTCTTGAGGAATGAGTGCACCTCAAGACGCCGCACGGACTTCGGAAGTCTATGTCCGTGACAATACCCAGTGGGTTGGGTTGGGTATGAGTTTTTCAAACCCAGCGGGTTTTATCCAGGATTATTTTTGGCAGATAAACTCATGGGTTTGGATTTGGATTTGACAAAACCCGCTCCTACCTGACTCATTGCCATCCCTATCTCCATCTCATGTATTGGTACAAATTTATTTATTTAATATAAGATGATGAATTCCAAAAAAGTCGCTCTCAATAAACAGATATTTTAAATTTTTAATCGCCCATGGAGAGGGATGTTTAAAATTAAAATGAAGGGTGTCCCAACTCCCAAGGCCTGAGGAACTCCTCCTCCAGTTATTTTATCGGTTTCCACTATGGAGGTCACATAATTAGCTACTCATGCCAACACTAATGTTTTTAGCGACCTCAGCATGACAGTGACCCATCACTCCAATAACTAAACAAGCAACAAAACTGGACTACCCTGCTCTTGTGTTGTGCCCACATGTGGATGTTTCTTCCATTCTCTCCACTTCTCCCGTTCAATTTCGACCGTCCAAGTCCAACTTCTGGGTAGGAGATAGTCACTTGTGATTGTGATGAATTAATATCCATGTAATTAAGGAAAATGACGTAATGTATTACATTGTTTGGTTTTTTTATGGCTAAATTACATGTTTTGTCACTCAAATTACATAAATCTTCCACGTTTATCACCCGGATTACTTTTTCTTCATTATTAGTCACTAACTTTACGATTCGTTTCGCCCTTAGTCACCGATCGTTACCCTCTTATCAAACTTTGTTAACTCCGTCAGTTTTTTGATGATGTGTCAAACGAAATTGTTTACTGAACCGTTAAGTTAACCACATGTCAATTTAAAAAAATTACAAATTAAAAATCAGGAGGAGTGGTCTCACTCTCACCTTCCCCTCCCTCGTGTCCCACCTCCCCCTCCCTCATCTCTCTCTTAACAAGAACAAGAACCAGAAGAAGAAGAAACGATCTCTTCCTTGTCTGTTCTATCCCCATTTTTTTTGTTTTTGTTTTTGTCTTGTTTGTGTTTTTGATTCAAGCCTTTTGTTTTGTTTTTAAGGCAGAGGGTGGTTTCGCACCTGGGTTCTCATCCCCGAACGGAAGCTCCCAGCCAACACCATCCCTGTCGTCTGTCTGTCGATGACATCTTCTCCTTCAACCACCTCAAACAATCCACGGCGCTCCCCAACAGTGCTATCAACCCCAATTCCAATTGTTTGCTGCTTTTCAGATTGCAGACCTCACAATCCACTACCACTTTTTCCCAACAGATATGAACCATTGAGCCATATTTATGGACTATTGGATGGGAGATGGAAAACCATCCCTTAAATATTAAGTTGCGGAACATATCCAAATTCCCTATTACTTCACTCGCTGTGCCTGTCAAAGAACCTCGGGATACACCCATTCTCCCATGGTCGCTCACCTTAACTCCAACAGCAAAAGTAGAGAATTTGGGAGGTGGCACAAAAATGGAAGTGTGTGCAACCAAGAAAGTAGACCCATCTATCGAAGAATGCCTCAAAATTAAAGATACAAAACTTCCCATTGATCAAACAAGGGAGAAAAGCCTCCAGGATCGATCTTCTTCTCCATCATATTAGTCTTTATTGCGAGTCAATCTGAAACTCAATCTGGAAATGTTGAAACGCCACACTAGACCTGCCTCTCATTTCGCATGGAAAACTGCCTTCACCGACTCGTAGCTAGGGACGTTTACGACTGCCAGAAGAGGGAGGCGGGGAACAGAAATAGGTGATTAACATATATGCTCACGTCTTTGGGAATAAGAGAACCACAGATGAAAGGGGAGGAGCTAATAGTAATAATAATGAGTTAGAAGGTAGAGATTACCATCCCCATAAGATGCCATTGTTAGAGGTGAAGCGATCAACTTCTGTGAAATGTCAGTTATGTCCTTCAACGTGATCTCATCCACTGCCTTCAAGAATTGATCCACTGGCTTTCTGCATGGATTCCCAGATTAAAACAAATCAATGTTGCGAGGATCACTTTTCGATGAACAAAGAGAAGAAACCATTGAATGACCTAGAGATATTTATTACCTTTCACCATAAGTCAGATACTGCCTGCCAATATCTTCGGCTACAATCATCTGCAACCATCACAAAAATTCAATCTACTGCTAATAGATCAAGCATTGGAATTCAGAATATATTACAGAGAGAGGCCTACTCTAGACTCGAGATTCATGAGAACTGCAGATTTTGTGGCCTCTTTAGCACGGTTCAACTGTGTCTCACTAACTGCCATCAGTGACAGATGAGATTAGGAATGGTAAGAAGACTTACCACAGCAACAACAAATAGAAATATAACTGATTAGGATACCTTGTTTAGGAGTTGCAATAGAGATTAACTCCCCTGCGGCTACATCAACAGCCTTCGCCACAAAGTCAGAAGTCTGCATAAAATAACAGCACAAGTTGATGATACATATACTTCCGTACAAACGCTCAAATAACAAACTAACCCCACAACGGACATTTTGGACTTACAGTGGTTGCATAAATGCCAAACAATCCCGTGTGGTTGAAGATACTGTTGAATGCAGAAAAGGACTGGAGCTGTTGATAGTTATTCAGTACACGGAGATCTAAAGTTTACAAATATAACCCAGGTTAGAAAGCAAAGCATTTTGCTAAATAAGCAAACTTTAGAATTCCATATACTGCTTACACAAGCGTGAGTGCATCCCTTTTCCTGGCCCCCCTGCAGAGAACGAGCCACCTCCTCCCATAAGCATCTGCAATAGTAGCATTTTTTTATCAACTTCTGTATTGCCAACACAAACGTGTCAAGACCAAGATCCCCAAGAAAGAATAAATAAAATAAAAGAGTAAAGGAGGATTCAGAGATGAAAAGACGTTTCAGGGTGACAGGCAATAAGAAGCACCTGGAGCACAGTTAGGGTTATCGCTTCCTTTTCATTATGCCAGCCACCAGGAACTTCAAAGGCAAGAGCAACATGTGTTACCTGGGATATGAACAGTCATCTGTGTAAGTACCGTATCAGAAGATCAATAGATGTTTAGGAAAAGACAAAACTGAGAAGAATCAACATGCACCGGTAAATCAGCCTGGCGACGATAATCCCCCCCAACATATACGGAATTTGGTGCTTCCGGATGTTGGACAAGTGGAAGGTCAGAGAGAAGTGGTTCGGCAACAGACAAAAGCTCCTCGAATTCAACCCCTGATGCTGCAAGGATCATTCTAGGAGCTGTATAATTCTCCTGACATTTGAAATAACAAAACGCTTCAGCAAAATGATATATAGAAGCAATGGTCACAACAAAGCACACAAAGATTGGTGCTCATACAGCTACAAATTCCTCCAAAATGTCACCGTTCAGTCTGCTCAATGCTGCTTCTGGAGCTAAAAGAGGATTTGCCAAGGCACCAGTATAAGCGGCAGAATGAATAGCCTCCAAGAGTAAGCCTTGGGGATTGTTAGAGATTTGACTGAGCTCATCCTTCACCCTTTTCAGCTGTAATATATACATGGCTTTAATCAGCAAAGATACAATTTTTTATTTTTATTTTAATAACTTGTGGTTAGTTTTGCCTGCATATTCAGAAGATAGCACTTAAGCAAGTAGACAATGACTTCTTGTTTCTGGCATGGTAGTAGCAAAGAACCACAAGTTAAGCACTTCTTGATATACATCGATGAATGTACGTGAGTTGTAACTTCCATTTAAATTTCTTGACAATTCTTTTATTCATACTGGACTAAGGCCCTTCCCAGGAGCCAGGAAGAGCCACCAATGATAAGATAATCTGACAATGTTCTTCAATAGTTTTGACAAAATACTTGGAAATACTATATATATTCACAAGGCTTCTGACTTTGACTTTAAAACTCTAGATATACACAGAGGTTTGAGCATGTTGAATCAAACTGCCACCACTAGTATGAAGCCAGACATAAGCTTAATAAAAGAAAGCCACAAAACTGACAGGGGCACACAAAACACCAGTGCTTGGAGAGAGGATAATCAAGAGACTATCTGAATGTTACTAGCATATATCTGAAAAGATTACCTCCTCATTGACTTCCCAATCAATGAACACGGGGTTCCTGACGGAGTCAACGAGCAATTCTACCATTTCAGGAATATAGGTCTTCAAGGCATCAAAAGTGTATCCGATCTGCTCTCGTGAAGCCGAGGCTGCTACAGTACCACCAATGGCCTCAACTTCTCTTACAATGCGAAAGTGGCTCCTGTTTCGAGTGCTTTTGAATGCCATTCTTTCAAGCAAATGAGTGGCTCCACACGATTGGGGTGTCTCATAGATAGAACCGCAGTCAATGTACATCCCTATCGATGCTGCAGGACTCTATTTCAACAAGCAGAAAAAAGATCAGTTTTCTTTCACATGAAGAAAGAAGCTGAAGCACAGGAAGAAGGCAACGTAGAAAGGCATACCGGAGATGTCTCAGAGACTATCGTCAGACCGTTTGAAAGAGTTTTCGACTTAATCTTGCTTGGCTCAACATAGTCTGGGAGGGATGGTGGAGAAGAAACACCTTCAAATGGTGAATTCAAAGGAGGAAAAGAACTAGCACGTTCACCAATCAGCCAGCTGAAAATTCCTGGGGAGGATGATGTTGTAGAAGCAACTGCACTTGAGGCTGCACATCGGGTAGCACCCAGATTCCCCACACGCCCCTACTCATCATGCAAGTTCGACAAAAGACCAATTTAGCAGGAAAGCTAAAAGGAAAATATAGGCTGCGATTCCTATCGCTTGAAGAGAAGGCGGTCGCTGGTGCAATCATATAACCGATCAGAAGTACGAAACTTCAACCACGCCAACTCAAAGACTAATGGCAATAAACATCTTGGTGGACAATAAGACCAGCGTCCTTGTCTAAAAAAAATGATCTCTTTTATTACAGCTAGAATCCTATATAACAGAAGATGATCCATCTCAGTAATCGTAGACAAAATTTTCCACCTTTCTTATGACCCAAAAAACAAACTATGCGATATAACACACTCATAACCTTTTTGCCTAAAAGAAACAACGAAAATATACATAAACCATGAAATGGCCCAGAACAGGAAGGGCAATCAAAACCCACAAAAGGGAATAGAAAGACGGATCTAAGGGAATCCATTGCATTGAGAAAAATAGGCAGAGTGAATGTGAAGGCGAATCCTTCCGATTTAACGCATTGAAAAGTCCTGCTACATTCATTCAATCTCTCAAAGATCAAAACTTTTCTCCCTAAATAATCAAATCAGTCTATGCTCTCAAACAAGAAACTTAGGGCAATTTTTTCTCTATTTCATTCATTGTCTGTTCCTAATGAACTAACCTTGAGCGCTCTGAGGCGGGAAGCTGTACTTCTGTACATGTCGACCTTAAACTTGTTATCACGCAGGAATTGAGCTTTTCACGACGACGAAGGCTACCGCGCTACGGTCTCGTTTCTGCGTGCGTGTGCGGTGTGTGTTGTCGCAGGTTTGATTTCGTAACAGAGAAAGGTGGCTTCCGCTGAAGTTCAGAGAGGAGGAAGAAAGTTTTGTCGTTGATACTTGAGTTGGGCCGCCATATTTAGAAGTTCCTTCTCAATTGTGAGCTAATGGGCTTCCCGTTTGTGGGGCTTGTTAGAGAGTGGTATAAGATTCACGATTGAACTTCTCCCAACAACTCGAGTTATTGGGATCAACTGGTTCTTGACATGGTATCAGAGCCTAGAACCGAAAGGTCATGTGTTCGAATCTCCACGACCCCCAACATTAACCGTTGTCTTTCAAGCACATGGTATGGTGGGCATGTGCAAACTTCAAGCCCATGGGTTGACTTTCGTTTGAGGGGGCGTGTTAGAGAGTGGTATAAGATCCACGATTGAACCTCTCCCAACAACTCGAGTTATTGGGATCAACTGGTTCTTGACAGGGCTTTGTGAGAGTCTTTGATTTTTTTGTTTATTGAGCCACTTACTAAGGCTAACTCCAATAGAGCCTCTATATTTGGGGAGCCTCTATATTTGGGGAAAAGTTGGCTCCAATGGGGCCTCTATAAATGGAGGAGTCTCTGTATTTGGGGGAGATCTCCAAAAGGAGCCCCAAATTTGGGGTGGAAATGGGGGCTCCCCCAAATATAGAGACTGTCCAAAGCCCGCCATGTGGCGTTTCTTTTTCTTTTTAAGATTCTAAGGGTTAATTGGGGTTTAATTAGGAGATTAGTTAGGGGTTTAATTAGATCAATAATTTTCAACTATTGTGTGTATAGGTGTCAAAACATAGCCCGACCCGAATAACCCACCCGATCAACCCAACCCGTAACCCGACCGCAACCCGAATTGACTAAAAGTCAACAACCCGTAACCCGCCCGACCCACAACCCGATTGACCCGCAACCCAACTGTCCCGCAACCCGATTAACCCGAACCCGATTAACCCGCAACCCGACTGACCCGCAACCCGATTAACCCGAACCCGATTGACCCGAACCCGACTAACCCATAACCCGACCGACTCAACCCGAATTTCATCTAATCCACTTGAATAATTATAAAAATATACAATACATAGTTTTTTAAAATAAAGTTTTTCATTCTAAACTTAAGTAAAATTATTTTTTCATTTCGTATAAGAAATTTAAAAAATATGAAACTCACTTGATATTACGTATTTTAAGAGAATTACAAAAATTGAAACATGAAGGTCACTTGAGATCATGACAATATTAATATAATATATAAATTAAAATTTTGGTTAATTTAACTATTCAATAAAATTATCAATTAAATATAAATAAAGTAAAGTAATGTATTTGGTAATTTGATGTTTTTAAAAGAAGAGGAAAATTTTGGTGTATTCAAGTTTTTGGGAAGAGAAAGAAGAGGGAAATTTGGTTCTTTGAATTTTTTAGAAAAGAAACAAGTGGGAATTTTGATATGTGGGAAGAGAAAAAAGTGGGAAAGTTTGATTCTTTTGATTATGAAATAGAAATAAGGAGGGAAACTTTTGACTTTTCAACTTTTTGTAGAAGGAAAGAAGAGGATAATTTGGTTCTTTCAATTTTATGGAAGAGAAAGAGGAGGGAAAATTGAGTTTTTCTAATGTATGGAAGGAGAAAGAAGGAGGGAAATTTTAGTATTTTTGTAAAAAGAAAGAAGGAAACAAATTTGGTGTTTTCAATTTTTTGGTTTTTCATAATTTTAGCTTTTGAAATATGAATCTTTAACTTTTATATGGAGGGCATGACTAGTTAAAATTATTCTTATATGCTTTGAAGGCTAATATGTATATATGTATGTAATTGTTTATGGGCTAATAAATGAATTAACCATTAGTTACTACAATTTGTACTAAACTTGATAAGTAATATTTGACGGTTCGTTGTTTAGGATATAAAGTATATGGTGTATAAGGTATAAGGTACATATGGTTTAGAGTGTATATGGTTAGGGTATAAGATATTGATGGTTTTGACGATTCTAAGTTTTTTATTAACATATGTTCACTTGAAGTCATTTGAAGTCTTTAACGGCAGAAGATCCCTTTTTAATTTATGTTTATGGTACGTGGTTAGGGTACAAGGTATGTGGTGTAAAGTATAGGATATATGGTTAGGGTATAACAATTAGCAAATGTCACTTTTTATCTATGTTTTGAAAATCAAAGTATGAATTTCGCTTTTAAATTAACTATACTAGCAAAATCACAACTCAAGGACATATGGTTAGGGTATAGGTTATGTGGTTAGTGTATAATGTATTGATGGTTTAGAGTATACAATCAACAACATATACTAACTTAATATTGTTGATTGAGGGTAAGGCTAAGTGTATAGGATATATGCTATTGAGTAAGTTATGATTGAAGTCACAATAATTTTACTAAATTTGATAGCTAATCTCTAATGGTTCAATTTTTAGGATAATTCGAACAATTTTACAAATAACTCGTTTGACAACAGTTTACTGAAGTTATTTGGGCAATGAGTTATTTTGAAATAACTTCTTTTATCACTATGCTTTTGCCAATTACCACACGCCAAATACCAGATTTGCATGGTTATACTAAACGAGATACTTTAATTCAATTACTACTGAATTAATACTAAAATATCAAATAAACAATTAACGGTGTCTTTTGGTTGCAAATATTGATATCACCATTACTATTAGCTATAATACTTTACCAATTATGATTAATTACATAACAAGTTTGCAAGTCATACAAATTGATTTAAAATTTTGACTAATTTTTTTCAAAAAAATAAAGTATATACATACGAGGTAGAAATAAATTGGTTAAAAAGTTGAGAAATTTTTTTAGATTAGTGTAATAAAATGTGTAAGTTGGTAATGAGTAATGAGTTAAGTTACTTGATGCGCTGGCCCGAACAACCCGAAACCCGACCCGCCTGCAACCCGTCCGACCCAAAACCCAATAAACCCGCAACCCGATTTGCCAGCAACCCGATTGAACCCGAATCCGATGAACCCGCAACCCGACTAACCCGCAACCCGTTTGAACCCGAACCCGATGAACCCGAACCCGATAAACCCGCAACCCGCCTAACCCGCAACCCGTTTGAACCCAAACCCGATTGAATCCAGCCCAAACCCGCCCGAACCCGCTCGATTGACACCTATAGTTGTGTGTAAACCCAAATTAGGTCAATCATTTTTTGTCAACAAAAATTTGGTCTCAAAATTAAAAAAATTTCTACTGGAAAATTTGTATTTAAAAATGATGACGAACTATACAAAAATTAACATGAACAAATTATATTAAGACTTCGATAAGTACATTTTTAAGTAAATGAAAAACTTAAAAAAATGGAGATCTCCAAATATAGAGGATGTAGCATTGAAGCAAAAGAAGGGAAAATGAGGATGAACCCCAAATTTGGGGATGAAGATCCCCAAATTTGGGGGCTTGCATTGGAGTTGGTCTAAGGGTGGAACTGGACGCCGGACGGTATTAGGCTCGTTCCTTCCTAAGAACCTAAGATGTCGTTTGCTTGTAAAGGATTTTCTCTCAAATTCAACATACGATGAATTATATCTTAAAAATTCATGTTTTTTTTTATTAAAATGAGGTTGACCTAAATGCATGGCCCCATGGATGTGGGATTAATTTTTTACTCAAAATCCGGGGACCCTTAGATGTGGGCTTAAAATGTTAAAATGTCACTTAAGCTAAACTTGAGTAAATGAATTTAGGCCAATGTCTATTTTTTATTCAAACCTTTTTCAGATTTTCTTATTTTATCCAAACCTATCAAAATACTATGAATTAACTAAACGTTAATTCATCATCAACTTTTTCGTTAATATTGCTGACTCAACATCACGAATCTGAGTTGGCTTCTGACGTGGTGGTCAACATATCATTTTATATTTTAATTAAAAAAATAATAGAAAAAAATTAATAAAGTGAGCGCCGTCCACAACACCCTCCTCTCCTCCTACTAGTGCACCACCTGGAAATCAATCCTCACTTCCCTCCACTCATCTTGTCTTTCTTGAACAAAATCCCGAAGCCCTCTTCATGTCTCTAGACCCAGCAATTCCCGCCTCAACTCTGACCTCTGCCGTCGAGCCCAAACGTGAAGGAGAACACAAAGGGGCATCATCGCCTTGCCTCTGAGCCAAGGAGGAAGAAGAACGACGGGGAGCTTCATCGGTCGATCTCGCTAGCGCAGTAGAGACCCATCTCCTATCTAGCCGACGAGGAATCTCTATGTTTCAAGCGCTCATACCCCCTGCCGCTAGTTCGCGAGTCCAGGGAGGCAGGAACTAGTTCGCCCATCTTCAATCTTAAGGTTTGCGGAGCCATCATCGACCAACTCCTCCCAAGCCGGTAGAACAAGCATCGCCCTCAGCCTGAAATTTCACCCCCGTCGCATCTTTTGTTTTGGATGATGCCTTATTGGGCTGACCATTGGACCTAACATACTGTGTTTGAGCTCTTCTGTTCCCCTTTAGCTGTGGTTTGTTCCAGACTGGTCCCTCTCCAGTCCGCTTCACTCGACTGGTCCGTCTCCAGTCTCCTGCAGTCCGTGCATACCGGTAACATCGTTCCCCTTTCCCTTCCCTCTTCTCCATTGAGGGAAATGTCGATCTTAAGTGTGGGGGGATGTTTATCTTTTGACTGCATTAGATCTGTTTGTGTGCTTGGAGCCTAGTCCACTGTTCCCAAATTTTTAAATTTGAGGGCTCCAAGTACGTGTTCCTTGCAATTGCCTGCTCAGCATGCTTTGAATTGACAGTCTTTATAGTAATATGCAACCTAGGGAGGTAGTGTAGCACTATGGAGGATGTTGATGCATTTAAGAAATCTCATTTCTTCTTCATATTGTGTTGGTTGATTGAGTGAATTAGTGATCTTAGGACCATTGAATTGTGTGGTGTTGTGGACTCTCTACCTGTCATGGACTCTTGTATCATGTTTTGAAAATAACAGGTGCTCGAAAATGTGCTGAAAAATAACGTCTCCCGTGCGAATAGGGCGAAAGTGTGTAAGGGGAGATGGGAATCCGTTCCCAATTTCCACCTACTACCTCCAGCCCCCTTACATGTCTTTCCCTCGCACGAGGCTCGAGACATCCGCTCCTGGCATGGCCGGTAAGAGCCGGGCTCCCGCAAAACCTCTGCTAGGTGGGAGCCCCCATTTTCTGAAAAGCAGGTCGGGACCCTTGAAAAAAAAATAGCAGAAAACAAGCAAAATAGAAAAAAAAGGGGTTCCAACCATCTTCAAGAAGAAAATAGAGCACCTTGAAAAATGTGAGTTCATGATCCTTTGTTTTTGAGAATCTCTTCATCCACAATTCATTTGTCTTCTGTTCACTATTTGCCATGATTCCGACTCGAGACTAGCGTTCTCGCCGAAGAAGCTATGAGATGACTTGTGCGTCGGTTGACCTCGTAAGCTGCTAAATGATCTAGGAAGTCCTCTACCTACGATCTGGGTTGTTTGTTGCTATAAAGGTCTGGAGAGTTGCATTGGTTTGAGTTAGGTTTGCTTGGGGACAAGCAAACAGTTAAGTGTGGGGGAGTTTGATAGACCGTTAATTACACATGTTTTCACCCCTGTTCTTACACCGTCTGAGATGTGGTTTCTCGTGTTTTAGACCGATTTCACGCTAGGTTGTGCTTGTTTGTGATATTTCAGGTCCTGGCAAGTGAATGAAGGTTTAGGAGCGAGTTCGGGGTCGATTGGGCGAATATCGGGCGCGAGGCAAGTCGCAAAGGAAGTCGCACGGGCACACCCACAACCCACACGGCCGTGCAAGTGACCAGTTTGGCCGTGTGGGATTGTGCGAGAGCAAACACGGGCAGAGCAGAAAATCCACATGGCCGTGTGAGGATGCATTTTGGCCTTGTGGAATTCTGCGAGGCTTCACACGGCCAGGCTGGGTGAGCTACACGGCCGTGTGACCCTGGCCGTGTAAGAAGCCTGGAATTCAACTAATTGATGAGCTGCGTTTTGACTCACACAGGCAACTGGGTGAGCCACACGGCCGTGTAGCCTGCCCGTGTGAGTCGGGATTTTCTGGTTTTAAGCCAATTTCCAGCCACAAGTCCTGGGGATTCGAGTTTTAGAGAGACAGAGCGATTCCTAGAGAGAGAAAGCGACGAACAAGAGTTCCAAGTGCCCTAGCTTGATCTTCAACACCATTGGAGGCCAGTTTGAGCTTGGAGAAGTGTCGATCAACGTCCAGGAGCAGGAATCCATCCTTCACAGTATGAATTCCGCGTCTGATTCTGCTTTTGCTTCTTTCTCCATGGAGTAGTTCTCCCATTCATCTGGGTATGGAGAACCATAGATTTGTATGTTAGGCTTTGATTTTATGAACCCAAGTACTGATTCTATGATTTGATTATATTCGATTGAGGTTTGAATGATTGAATGACTTGAATCCTGATCAAATTCCTGTTGTTTCTGCTTTAACCTAGAATGAGAATATCTGCCTAGGTTGATAGAGCATCCTTGATTGAAGGTAGGGAGTTGGTGACTTTAGTCGAGGAGCCAACTCACTATTCTGTACCGGATTTACTTCGGTAGTGGAGGTTTTGTTCATAGGGCCTCAATCTGTTTACTCCGGTGGAGGTTAGTCGCCCGCTAGAGACTCAGATTGAGAGGGTCTGAAGACCTTTAGTCGAGACTTCAGGCTGTTTAAGAACCTTCCGCAGTATAACTATCATAGAAACTGAACTTGGTAATTACAATCCGGCTTAACTGCAGTCTAGGGGGAACCATATCCGGGTGACCTCTCTTAACCTGAATACAACTGTTTACTTGCTTTGTTAGTTTGTTAGTTTAGACTTGCATTAAAGTTTCATTGCTAGATAACAAGAATTCACTGAGTAGTCATCAAATCTAGGACCCGGGTTGATAATTAAACCCAAACCCGCTATACTACGCTTTAGGAAGTGGTTTCACTTGGCCAATTCTTAGGGTGACAGTAGAAGTGAGTCAAAAGGTTTGGTTCTACATGAAGCTTCCCCCTGGTTTCGCTGCTCCAGGAGACACTTGTGTTTGTCGCCTTCATAACTCAATCTATGGGCTTCGACAGGCTTCTCGAAACTGGTATCACAAGTTTACTACTGATTTATGCTCTCTCGGTTTTCGATCCTCTCATGCTGACCACTCATTGTTTATTTACCGGTAGGAGAGCACTTTTGTGGTCACACTTATCTACTTCGACGACGTTCTCCTCACTGGTAATGACTTGGAATTCATCAAGAAGGTCAAGCACTTCTTGGATAACCAGTTCAGTATCAAAGACCTGGGCGATCTTCGTTATTTCCTTGGGATGGAGTTGGCGCGCACACGGGATGGCATTGTGCTCTGTCAACGAAAGTATACTTTAGACATCCTCGAAGATGCTAGTGTGGAGGGTGCACGACCTAGTGGTTTCCCGGTTGAACAAAACCATCATCTGACTCGTCATGCCTCCGATGATGATCTACTTCCTGATCCATCTTCCTATTGACGTTTGGTGGGACGCCTGTTGTACCTCACCGTCACCAGACCCTACATAACTTATGGTGTCAACGTCTTGAGCCAGTTTGTCATTGCTCCCAGCTATTCACACATGGACGCTGCTCTCCGCTTACTTCGCTATCTCAAGTCCTCTCCTAGTTAAGGTCTGTTCTTTCCTCGCACTAACGATCTGCATCTCGCGGCTTATTGTGATGCAGATTGGGTTGGTTGCGAGCATACTCGTCGCTCGACGACTGACTATTTCATTACTCTGGGTGGAGCTCCTATTTCCTGGCGGTCTAAGAAGCATAAGGTTGTTGCTCGCTCTTCTGTTGAAGCCAAATACCGTGCTATGGCTAGCACGGTTAGCGAGGTCATTTGGCTACGCTGGTTGCTTGTCGAACTGGGTGCCACGCAGTCTCGTGCTACACCCCTCTACTGTGATAACCAGGCCGCCCTTCACATTGCAGTTAATCCTGTTTTTCATGAGCGTACCAAGCATGTGGAGATAGATTGTTACTTTGTACGCGAACGAGTCCAGTCTGGCGTCATCTTGCCCATCAAAAATAGTACACAACACCATCTCGTGGACATCTTCACTAAAGGTTTAGGTGTCGATCGCTTCCGTTTCCTACTCTCCAAGCTGCAGGTTCGTAATCTTCACGCTCCAACTTGCAGGGGAGTATTGGACAAGGATCCAGCTCGTGAGCCAGAGACCACCTCTCTGCCCATACAGCCCACGGCAGCACATGCAGTCCAGTACACCACTTACTTGTTGGACAAGGACACAACTAATGTAACCCTAGGTGCTAGAGAAAGGGATATATATATGTGTTGTAATTGGCTTATGTCGAGTAACAAAATAACAAGCTAATAAGAGCAGTAGCCAGAGAGGTTCTAAACTCTCCCGTGGATTAGTCCCGACTCGTCGGGGATACCACGTTAAATCGTTCGTCTCGTTCATTTACTTGTGGGTTTGGCAAATTTGACAATCTTCACCTTGATTTCGCAATCTGCTTTCTTCACCGTGATCTCCTTCTCCGGGTCGTAAACATTAGCTTCCTGCCCAGTTTGCTACACTTGTGACCCTTTTCGTACCTAATTCACGTATTGTTTAAATCACTCAATAATCACATCATAGTCAAATAGGAACAAAAATAGGGATGCAGTTAACACTATTCTAACGATTATGCACATGAATTGACACGAAACAAACCTAAATATGAAGGCTATAAAAACACCAAGACCTCAAATCTTCACAAATTGAGTGGGTTTTGCATGAAGTTTTGGCATTGACTGAATTACTTTGATTATATACATACAACCATATGCTTCCTATCATCCTTACATCATGAGAAGGAGAAATTTACTGCATCTCCAATACAAATCACAACTCAATGGTGAGTTGCCATACAACCAAAAAAAGGGTACCGAACCAAAGCAATCACAACGAAACAGATATAAAGCAAACGAAAAATAATCCCTAGTCCAAAGCTTTCGAACTACTGATGAACAGACTGTGAATGGTTTGACTTTTGTCCAGGATCGTCAATGCCAAAGCTTCATGCAAAACCCAGCCGGCACAACAGACAATCTCTTGCTAGAAACGCACTCCGAAAACGTATCAACTAGCTGCTCTGCAAGAGCCGATGGGTCCTCGATCAATGTGTCCACAAACGCCTTCACAACCCTCATCTCTTCGGCACTCGCTCTCAAGCTGTACCAAGTCAGGAACTTCTGGCGGAAGTTCTTTTCGATGTGCCCTTCGCACTCTAACCATCTTATCACCTTCACGCAGTACTCAAACTCCTTCTCCGGGTTCCCGTTCGACCGCTCGTCCAGCTGGAAGGGGAAGTGGGTCCCATCTTGGGACTCGCCAGCTGCATCTTTCGATCTTGGATTTTTTCTTCCCACAATGTCCTTGGCCATTTCCAGCTTGCAAGGAGTGATCGGTAAGCTAGCAACATCCGTATCAGTAGGGACAGCGGTGTCTATTTGACACTCCTCGGTTGAATGATCCGCATCCAGCTTCCCGAGGTCAGACGATGGATCGGAAAGGCTGCTACAATTGGTGACTACAGGGCTCTGGCTTCTTTCCCCTCCTGATGGAGAGATCTCCTCTGCTTCTTCATCTTCAGCGCCACATGTTGAGAAATGAACCTCTGATGTACCGAGGTGTTCTTCCCTGTTGCTGAAGGAAGTGACTTTGAACCAGTATTCCGTAGCCGGGTCAAGATCAGCGAGGATATACGTTGTGTTTGGAACGGAAAGTCTGCAGGTCGGTTCCGCCGGGTAATTTGCCGCCAAGGCTTTGCGGTGCCACAGTGTATAACCTACAATGGGTTCATTAGGAGAATATTCTGAGCTCAAAACAAGAGTGATTGATGTTGAGGTTGCATCTTCAAATTGGACTGTGATTGGAGAAGACATTGAACTTGAACCTGCAGCTGCAGCTGCAAATGCATAAAAAGTTCAGAAGAAAATAGAACCTGAAACCATCTATAGGAACACCTATAAAAGCATTATACTTTCGGGTAGGAAAATTACTATGGCTGCTTAAAGATTAGGGAAGGTGTCAAACTGGATATGGGAGTCCATTCTAGTTAATTACCTTGGGCTGCAGGGTCCTGCAAAGGAGGAGAGACGAAGCTTGAGAGGAAGTTGTCCAGCAACTCGAGAACAGAAGCACATTGCTTCTGCACGGATGACCCAACAGAAAGTCTGTTGACGATGCCTCTGCCCATCTTGACAGGCAGACCTGTAATGGGACCCACTTCACTTTCAAGCTGTTTGATGGCTTCATCGACGATCTCAAGTAGCTCTTGATACTTGACCGTCCCATTCAGAAGTTTCTGGCTTACAGAAAGTCGGTAGCAAAGGATGTCCACTCGCCTGGTTTCCTTTGCTACAATCAGTTGCTTTCTCAGGAACCTGATTACATGCATATAAGATACCAAACAATGCAATGTAAGTTATTTGAAAGATTCCTAAAAACTATTATGCAATTGATCCCGAGCCAAATAGATATAGACCAGCACAACCATCCAAGTTAAAGCATCAGAAAGCCAACTTTTTCTGGACCCAAGAGCAACAACAAGCACATCTCAATTGTCCAAGCAATTAGTTCAATTTGGGTTTACCTTAACTAGAACTATGAGGGTTCTAAGAAACTGCACAATTAACAGTTCATTTATCCAAATCTTCATTCAACAGCTATATGTAACTAAACAATATGATCAACCTTACTAAGGTAACCCGTGAATGAGTAACTAAATCGGTAATTACCCAAGTCTTTTCACAGCACAGCAGAAGACAGAACCCAAGTGTGAAAGCAAAATTGAGAGACGAATGATGTGGAAACTACTTACACGAGCAAATCGTTAATTTTCCCACAGCCCGCGCAACGAAAGCTACCATCAAGTTTCCCGCGCCGTCCTCCTCCTCCTTCCTCATCTTTCCCTCCAATCCCCGCGCTCTCGTGTTTCAGCGCACAGTCAAGATGGCAAGACATGCCGCAAGCAGGGCCTTGGAAAGGCGGATCGGTGCTGCAAATCATCCACAAGCTCGGGTCCTTGTTGTCATCGTACTTGTGGCATATGCAGCACGAGCACCTCTTGCAGAACGTATCGCCCTGTTTCATCGTGGCTTTACAGGCAGAGTTCTTGCAGTAGACCGTATTCGCCTGATTGGGGGCGTCTCCGCCACCGCCGCTGGTTGGAGTGACGGGGAGCAGTCGAGACGGTGGTACATCCATCTTCCTTTGCCGCTTGTTGGAGCATTTTTGCTCCACCGGAGACGACGACCCCGGCTTGTCGTAACCGGCGCTGAAGGACGATTTCTTGTCGGAGACGATCTTCAACAGCTGTTCGATGATCTTCAACTTGGTAAGGCCCGTGTATTTCCTCTCTTTTCCCATCTCCGAGCACAGGATCTGGAGAATGTCATGCCGGCTCCACGCCTGGAGCAGCTCCGCTGCGTCTGGCTGATCCCAGAGCTGGTAAACGAGCTCCCTCTTCTCCTCCATGCTCAATTTCCCGCAATCCGACGAATCAAGCTCGCGGCCGGCCATCGACGACGACAAGGCTCAAACACCGCCGCGAGAAATGAGTCCCGAATGCCGAAGCCACATGCGATTCGGTTACGGAACGACGGCGGGATCCGACCTCGGGCGATGTGAAAGGGGAGGAAGAAAGTTGTTTAGTGGGGTATGGGCGGCGAGGGCGGTGGCGGCGGAGGGGCAGTGGTTGTACTGGAAAGGGGGAAAAAGTTGCAAGAGATAAGAGGAGGAAGAAGAAGAAGAAGAAGAAGACAGCTTTAACCTAATTTTTGATACCCAGTGGGACCCACTCACGTTACAATTATTGGTTTATTGTATTCAATCATGCAATTTTGCGTCTGTAATAAGATAAATAATCTTTTTGGACGGTTTAATATGTTAAGTTTTAGCTTTTCTTTAGTTTTTTTACAAAGTAATTATAGGGGATATGTTTACTGTCACAGTGTCACTCTCGCTAATACTATGGTTTTTCATTCGTTGTAACAGAGATATATACGTAATTAATTAACTTATTATTATCTATTACGAAAGAGAAAACAAACAAGAGCTGAGCAGGCATCATGACTAATTGTTATTCATGATCAACTAACTACAAAAATCAACAACTGGTCAACTACTTTTATACAAAGGGGTTAGAGGAATAATTTTGGGGCAAATTTGTTGGACTCTTTATCCAGAAAGTGCACTTTCAAGTATGCTAATGTTCCTGGGCCGGTAGGCTATAGGTGCTTATTTAGGGAAATTTTTCAGAAATATCATAAAAAATATAAAAAATTCTAAAAATACCACATATTTCTAAAAACTTTCAAAATACCAATATTTTTCATAAACCGCCGCCTAGCGGTTTTTGAGAATGGCAGCTGAAACCCCAACGGTCTGATAAACCGTGGGGGCCAGCGACGGTTACATGCAAACCGCATGCACCCCTGCGATTTGCATTTAATTTTTTTTTTTTGCAAGATTATGGATCTGAACCTTAGCGGATGCATTAGGCTTGCAAGATCTTGAATTTTTTTAAAAAAATTCACATATAATAAAATTGAAAGGGAAATTAAAAAAAAAACAACAATTGCATCTACTAAGGTTCGAACCCATGATTTGAACAAAAATATAACAAACTTCCATCCACTAGGCTATCTAGCTTTATTGTTCTTTACCACGCGAAAACAAAATTAAATACGAACCGCAGGGGTGCATGCCGTGAAAGTTTTGGATATACAAGTGTATTTAACCTTTAAATTATAACGTTTGTATTGAAAGAAATCTGCTCGTCGCGTGAAAGTTCTAGGGAAATCGGTCTCATACACTGGAGCCTCCAATAGGTTGAATGTCATATGGGCGAAGGCGAGAAGTATCCAAGTTGCATCAGCCATTAATGGATATTATCTAGTACGTTTTACTAGCGGTATCGACTACGAACCAGCAGCAACGGGAGGTTCGTGGATGATGGGGGACCACTACCTTACGGTTCATATGTTGGATAAGCACTTCAACCCCCACCACAAGATACTATCTATAATGGTTTGGGCTAGCCTTCTTGAGCTACCTGTTCAATATTTACATACGAATGCGGTGATGAAGATAGAAAAATGTATTGGTAAGCCGCTTCGGGTGGATCACGCGACGAGCACAGGAGCTAGATTGGATTATACCAGAGTCTGCATCTAGGCTGTCCAAATTCAAGATCCATGGGATCAAATATTACATCGAGTACAAAAGCTTGGAGAGAACTTGCCCGAAATGTGGAACTTATTCTGAACGAGGTAGTGCTCTTGCGGTGCGCTACCAGAGGCTATGGAAACGGGGGTAACGACTGAGGCCAAAATCCAAGGACAGCGGAGTCGCAACCAGAGTCGTCTCCCAAAGAGTCGGAGCAGGTATATGGGGAATGGATGATTGCAAAGAAAAAGCCACGAGTCCGTAGAGAACTTGCCAACACTGCGGTGGGAGCGTATACTGAGCGAAACCATGGACTACACACGAGCAAGAGCAGGGGCTCCAGGTTTAATGTCCTGCTTGAGGAGGAGAGTACAAAACCTATAGTGGATCAGATCAAAAAGGGTGAGACCAGTACAAGGGATAGCCAACCGGGGAGTAGGGCAAGGAAAACTGCAGCGAAACACCTATGGAAGGAGAAAGCTGTTGGGAAATAGAAAGAGGTGGTAGGGGAAGTCAGGAGCGAGAAAGCTGACACTTTTAACCAGGACCCAAATAAGCATGTCTCCATAAGGAGCTCAGCAAATAAAGACCACACAAAAGAGCAATGTGTGGAACCCATGACAGAACAAACAATTATGTCGGTGCATGAACCTGAGGTATGTGGGGAAATACAGAGGGACTCGATCATGACTGAGCCTTGCCATTTCATGGATGATTTCGGCGTCAACACCATGAATTAAGGCCATCTAACGAGACCACCGAACAATAGATGTAAACCCAGTGATTTGAAAGATATATTGATGCGTGAAGAACTAATGACGAGATCCAAACCGAGAGAGTCGAATGAGAGCCTCGTTCTCGAGGCTTCTTTGTCCGATGTGTAATTTGGCGCAATCCGAGAGCCTACTAATCCATGTTGCAATGAAGCTAAACATATTTACGTGGAGCTCTAGGGGAGCGGGAAGCAAACACTTTTCTAAGAATGTTTAGAGAATATCGAAGGAAACATCGTCCGTGTATAAGTACAATTGTGGAACCGAGAATCCGTGGAGATAAGCCGTTGGAAGTGGTGCATGAGCTTGGCTACGATAATGAGCTGATTGTCGATGCGATGGGGTTCTCAGGAGACATCTGGCCGGTGTGGGATTCATCAATCGTTACTAGTACTGAGGTAGAAAGGTCAGCTTAGTTCCTCCATGTCTCGGTCCAGAGTGGGAACGGTAATTGGTTCCTCACAGCCGTTTATGTTAATCATGCACTAATACAAAGACGAGAAATGTGGCAGTCAATTAGATCCCTATCGGAGGACATGGAGGACCCATGGGCCCTGATTGGTGACTTCAATTCCATCATCCACCCTTCGGATAAGATGGGAGGGGCACCTTTTGACGCGAGCCATGCCCGAGACTTCCAAGTTGCATTCTGGATGCCAGTTTAGTGGATCTTGGCTACACTGGTCCTCCTTTCACCTGGTTCCGGACAAGGATTAAGGAGCGACTAGACCGAGTATTGGGCAACCTAGCGTGGTCATCTCTATTTCCATAGTCTACTGTGAGGCATCTTCCTCGAGTTAAGAAGAGTGATCATCGTCCGATTGTGCTACAACTAAACCCGAGTTTCCAAGCTATTAGGCCCAAACCTTTTAAATTCATGGCGCCATGGTTGACACATGATGGGTTTAAGGAGATGGCGGAACGTGCATGGAAGTGAGGAACTGACTTATTGAGTGCTATTGAAGAATTTGCCACGAAAGGCAAACGCTGGAACTATTCTACATTTGGCCATATCTTAAGAAAGAAAGACTCACTCATGGCCACAATTGAAAGGTTAGAGCTGAGATATGGTGGGGAGTCGGACTATGTAGAATTACGACAGGCACGGGAGGATCTTGAGGAAGTACTATTCCAAGAGGAATTGTTATGGTGCCAAAAGTCGCGGGAAGAATGAAATTCAATGGGTAATCGTAATACGAAATATTTCCACACGAGAACAATTCAGCGACGCCGACAAAACAGGGTGTCAGGCTGTCAGCGTTGAAGAATGAAATTGGAGAATGGATTGAAGAGCAAGACGAACTACTCCAAATGGCAAGGCAATATTATTCGCTCTTGTGTACTGATGATGGGCTCCCTCCATTGACGTTTCCCGTTGCCTTCGATGTGATCCCAGCCCAACTGTGGTTGCCGCTCGCAAGTCAGCTGATGGAGGAGGATATATATTGTTCGTTCAACGCGATGGGTGCCCTTAAAGCCCCATGGAAGGATGGTCTTAATCCCATGTTCTATCAACAATGTTGGAGTATAGTCAAAGGGGAAGTAGTGGACTCAAGCCACTGATGCCACAATTGGTGCACGAGACACATACAAGCTTTGTGCCAGGGAGACTTATTACTGATAATATTTGCATTTTGCAGGAAGTGGTGCACTCAATGCGAGCAAAAAAGGGTAAGGTGGGTTGGATGACTCTAAAGATTGAATTGGACAAAGCCTATGACCGCATTAAGTGGAGCTTCGTTCGGGATACACTAGAGGTTGTGGGCCCCCCTCAAAGCTTCATTGAAATTACTATGAGTTGCATCTTTACGGCTAGCATGCAGATACAGTGGAATGGAGGACTGACTGAGCCTTTCACACCGTCGTGTGGTCTCCGCTAGGGTTGTCCCGTTTCCCCATACATTTCACCCTCTTTATGGAAAGGCTGGGACACCTCATCTCGACGATGGTGAACAGAGGGGAGTGGACGCCGATTAAGCTTCCTCACAATGGGCGGTTGCTCTCGCACTCTTTCTTTGCGGACGACTTGATCCTCTTTGAAGTGGCTTTAATGGAGCAAGTCCAGGTTATCTCAGGGTGTTTGGAAGAATTTGGTGTGGCTTCTGGGCAGCAGGTTAGCCGTCCCAAGTCGAGAATCTTCTTTTCCAAGAATGTGAGTACCTCAGACAGTGCAAATATGAGTAATACACTTGGCATCCCGGCTACAAGCAACTTGGTTTGCAGTTGGGGGTGCCAGTGATACACGACCGCGTATCGAAGGCTACGTTTACAAAACTTATTGATAAAATTGATGCGAGACTGGCTGGCTGGAAGGTGAAACCACTATCCCTTGAGGGGCGGATTACTCTTGTGCAATCATTCTTGACATCGCTGTTGGTTAACACCATGCAAACCTTTTTATTAACGGTCACAGTTAGGGAGTACATTGATACGAAGATCAGGAAACTTCTTTGGGTGAGTTCGGAACAGGGCAGAAAGGTTCACTTACTTGATTGGGATACAGTTTGCAGGTCCAAGGAGGAGGGAGGTATGTGGTTGCGAACTGCCACAAATATGAATGGGGCGTTTATGCTGAAGATTGCTTGGCGAATTCTCTTAGAACAAGATAGTTTATGGGTTTGTGTTATAAGGGGGAAGTATCTCAAGCAAACCGAAGATGGGTGGTAACCGAGAAGGGAAGGTAGACTATCTAATTTATGGCGGGGAGTTCTACGGGTCCTCCACCGACTATCGGAAGGGGGACTATGGAGCATTAAGAGTTGCATACAAACACGATTTTGGACTGATCACTGGCATCAAGATGGACCACCGTTGGTGGAATTCACACAATATTTACCGGTCAAGGAGAGGAATATGAAGGTTGCGGAAATGGTGTTGAACGGAGGTTGTAATATGGACTTCATTAGGGATTATTTGCCTGAAGATATGGCTGCCCAACTCCTTCTTCACCCTACCCCTCATGAAGCCGAACCTGATATCCCGATGTGAAGATTCTCATCGCCAGGTAAATTCTCTATGAAAACGGCATGGGTATTGCTTAGGAGTGAGGGTGATGACGGGACACACAAACCGGTTTGGAAGGTAGTTTGGAACACCTCAAGACCGCAGTGCACGCGACCATTCATTTGGCTTGTCCTTCATAACAAGCTACTAACCAATCACGAACGTTGTCGACGTCATCTGGAACAGGGAGATGATTGCCTCATCTGCGGTGGTAGACCTGCGACGATGATGCATATGCTAAGAGATTGCCCATATGCTAGGATGGTTTGGTCAGAGTTTCTAAGTGGGGAACCAGATGAAGTGTTTTCGGAAGAGGATGTGAACAAATGGATGCTTCCTTATCTTTCAGGCCGAAGTTCCAATATTGACGCAACTTTATTCGCTGCTCTTGGATGGCAGCTATGAAAGAAGAAAAAGCACTGGGTTTTTGAGAAAAAGCTAGCTTCGGCCACCTAGTTTAATTCTCTAGTACATTTTTGTCAAACCCAGGTGTCGAATTCTATCAACAACACAAGGAGGATGACCAGATAAAGTAGTGACTCACCACGGACTACACCGCGAATTAAATCATGAATAGAGCCCAAGTATAAACTCTAGCCGGGTGCAATATAGGGCAAGTATGTTTTAATTGTCAAACCCGGGTCGGTCCATATAACCCTACTTTGATCGCTTAAGTTGTTATCTAGCAAACGGATTTGGGTTTAAAACTAAGAAAAATACAAAATAAACAAACAAGTAAGGTAAATCAAGGTTGTCCCAATGAGAGAAGAATTCACCTGGGTTGCTACCCCTATCTACATATCAAGATCGACCAAACCGAATGCAAATGTGTGAAGGATAGTTCATACACCGTAGCTCTCTCAATCAATGGATTAAGGATTGCTACAATAAACTAGGAACTCTAGCTCTCTCAACCTTTCGGGTAAGGATTGCAACAATAAGCTAGGAGTCCTAGCTCTCTTAACCGATCAATTAAGGATTGCAAGAACCAATCCCTTGGAACTTAATCCGGACGTCAAAATAACACCCAAGTTAAAGTGCTAAATTGAAGTTTGAGGCTGTTAGAATATGAGTTGAATTTGATTTGGGTTTGTTTTGTGTTTTGGGCCTATTTTGTTTGGGTTTGTGTTTGGGTTTTGTTTTGACCTTTTCCTTGTATGTTTGGGAAAAGGTATTTGGTTTTCTGTTTGGGATTAGGAGAAGAGTTCTATAAATACTCTTCATCTCTCTAATCTGTAGTAAGGTCAGTCAGGTTAGTTTGTTTGGTTTGTTCGTTCGGAATTTGGCTTGTAACCTGTACTCTCCTCAAATCAGTGAAATTTGTTATCCCCTGCCTGTGGATTAGCTAGCACACATTGTGTTAGTGAACCACGTTAAATTTGTATTCGTTCGTGTTGGTTTGGATTATCGATTGCACGCTTCTGTTCTGACAAGTGGTATCAGAGCCTTTTGTTGCGGTTTTGGGAATTTGTCGTTGGACTGAAGTTTTGCTTTGTGGAGGTAGCTTTCAATTCTTCAGCTTGGTTCGGTGGAGGAATCGCCTTGAAGTTGACTTTGGGGGGTTGTGTTTTGGTCTCCCTTTTTTGGTGAGAAGTTTGGTTGGAGTTTGTTTGATAGTAAGAATGGCTGCTATCAGTATGAAGATTGAGAAGTTTACCGGAAGAAACTGTTTCAGTTTGTGGCAGATCAAGATGCAAGCATTGTTGAAACAACAGGGTTTGTGGGCTCCATTGTCTGAAAAATCAAAGAAGAAAAGCACAGATGAAGAAGAGTGGATTACTTTGGAGGAGAAAGCTTACTCTACAATATTGCTTTGTTTGGCTGATGACATCATCACTGAGGTTGCTGCTGAGAAGATTGTTGCGGGTTTGTGGTTGAAGCTTGAAAGTCTATACATGACAAAGTCTTTAACCAACAAGTTGCATATGAAGCAACGTTTGTTCAGTTTGTGTATGGAGGAAGGTACATCTCTCATGAATCATCTAGATCAACTCAATACTATATTGTTAGATCTGCGGAATATTGATGTTAAAGTAGATGATGAGGATGCTGCCTTAATTCTGTTAGTATCTTTTCCAAGTCATATGAGAATTTTGTGGATTCTTTTATTGCTGGGAAAGATAGTTTGTCTTTGGAAGATGTTAGATCTGCTCTACATACTAGAGAGGTTCGACATAAGGCGTCTGGTTTCTGGTTCGGAAAATCAGGCATCTGGGTTGGCTGCTACGAGTAGTAGGAGGCAACAATCTGGTAATAGAAAGGGGAATACAAATTCGAATTCTGCTGGTTTGAAGGATGATATCTTTCATTACTGCAAGGAGAAAGGACATTGGAAATTTGATTGTCCTAAACTGAAGAAATATCAGGAGAAGAAGGAATCATCTGTTGCTGTGGCGCAAGAAACTAACTCTGATTCTGAAGATGGTTTAGCCTTAGCAGTGAATGAACAGGTACATCATCAGGATGTGTGGTATTTAGATACTGCAGCTGATTATCATATGTGTCCAAGCAGGGAGTGTTTTCAACTTATGAGCAGATAGATGGAGGGCATGTTTCTATGGCCAATGGTGTTATCTGTAAGATTGTAGGAAGAGGCTCCGTCAGGATGAGGACACATGATGGTTCTGTTCGCACCTTGAACAATGTTAGGCATATTCCAGAGATGACTAAGAATCTGATATCTTTGAGTCTACTCGACGACAAGGGTTTCAGTTTCAAATGTGAAGGTGGAGTGATATATGTCTACAAGGGTTCTAAGGTGATTTTGAAAGGTGTCAAGCGAGGTGCCTTGTATAATCTACAAGGTTCTGTCTTGACATGTTCTGTTGGTGATAAGTGCACCAAGCTGGTTCTGAATGACAAGTCTTAACATGGGTTGGACTTGCCAAATGACTTGAGTTGTTGACCGCCCTTAGGGGCATTTGGAGGCAAGGGAGATTCTGGTACAGCTAATTTGGAGGAGTTGGGTACATCTGGCAACTTTGGTTGCATCTGGTACATTTGGTATTTGAGAGAGAATTCAAGTCAAGGTGGAGATTTTTAGAATATGACTTGAATTTGATTTGGGTTTGTTTTGTGTTTTGGGCCTATTTTGTTTGGGTTTTGTTTTGACCTTTTCCTTGTATGTTTGGGAAAAGGCATTTTGGTTTTCTGTTTGGGATTAGGAGAAGAGTTCTATAAATACTCTTCATCTCCCTAATCTGTAATAAGGTCAGTCAGGTTAGTTTGTTTGATTTTTCCGTTCGGAATTTGGTTTGTAACCTGTACTCTCCTCAAAATCAGTGAAATTTGTTATCCCCTGCCCGTGGATTAGCTATAGGGATGGCAATCAAACCCATGGTCGCGGGTACCCGACCGCCCCCAACCCAGTCAACGCGGGGAATCCCCGCTTTGACCGGGTATGGGGCGGGTATGGGTAAAACCCGCAAAAAGTTTGATGGGTATGGGGCGGGTATGGTTTTAGCCTCCCCCGCCCCATACCCATACCCATACCCGCCCCACCAAGAGAATTTCTTCACATATAAAAAAATAAGTGGATTAAATTGTAATCTATCAATGATGATGATGATAACTCGAGAAAATAAATAGTAGAAATGCAATTGTGTAACCACCTTAATTAAAACCTAATTCATTTCCCTCAATTCTCCTTCCACTCTTTCACTTTACCCATTGTCAACAATATTATGTTAGTTAATTCTTACTTAGTAAATGTATCAAGAGTTAGAGCATAATAATTTAAAAAATATTGTAGTCTATATTATGTATTAATGGATGTTTTAGGATCATATTCTTTGAATCATATTTAGAAAATGACCGTGTTTTGTTGACTTCATGATATAATAGGTTTGTTTATGGTTATAATTAAAACTTTTCTTGTAAGTTTTATGTATAATAATGTTGGAGGTACGGGGATGGGTATTACCCATGGGTACCCGAAACCCACGGGTATGGGGATGGGTTTGCAAAACATTCCCCCGCATGGGTATGGGGCGGGTATGGGTTTGGGTATTTGAAGATGGGGATGGGGATGGTTTAGGCAAACCCGCCCCAAACCCGCCCCATTGCCATCCCTTAGCTAGCACACATTGTGTTAGTGAACCACATTAAATTTGTGTTCGTTCGTGTTGGTTTGGATTATCGATTGCACGCTTTTGTTCTGATAGAGGCTTGCCCTAATTCTTTCTAGGTAGGTTGCTCAAGTGGCCAAGCAATCTAGCGTATCAAAGCCTCCTAACAAAAGGGGAGTTTCCCTCTACCTAGGTCAAATTGGCATAGTAATGAGAAATGAAGAACACAACCCAAGCATCATGAAAGTACCTCAAACTTTGCATTAAACACAAACCCACACAAAGCATTCAATTAATACAATCTATCACATACAAAAAGCTAGGGTTCACAATACCCAAGTGAAGATAACACTACTCCATGACTAGGCAAGGGGAAACAACAAAGAAGAGAGAAAGAACCATGGGGGATGCTTGTCTTCCCTCCTTGTTGATAAGAACACCATTGAGAGGTAAGAATCTTCACTCCTCTAGCTTGAAGTAAGCCCAAATCTTCCTCTTCTCTCCTTGTTGAATATGTTCTCTCTAGATTGTGAAGAAGAAGACCTTTCTCTCACTAGGGTTTCACCTTGGGGTTTGTTCAGGTGGAACTCTAGAAGGGAACCCAGAAAATCTAAGCCAAACCCCGGATCCAACCTCCCTTCTCCTTCAGCTCACTTCCCCTTTTATACCCAGATCGACGGTTGTTCACGGTCTCAGTTCACTTCCGTGAACTAAAAGCCTGGACCGTGAACTTGGACAAACACGCATCATTTCACTAAGGCTTTTCACGGTCTGGAGCGAATTATCATGGTCGAGTGACCATGATGTCCTGAATGCCCGCGAGATGGAAAATCCTCTCTGGGCGCCTTGCACTTCACGGTCGACATGCAATTGTCACGGGACTTGGGACTTTTCTTCACATTTTGGCGCTTTTTGACATCCAATCATCCTGAAACTCGTTCTCGGCCCTTTCATACGTGCTAGGACCTGGAATGTATAAAAAATAGCACAATTTAGCGTAAAATAGATCAAGTGACGATGAAATGCAAAGCTAAATTATCAAGAAATGAGGGGTAAAATGTGTATAATTGGACCCGAATCAAGTAGTATATGCAACTTGAGGTTAATCAGCTGCCAAGGCCCCGAGGGTAATTAGTTTTGTATTACAACTGATGGAGCTGTATTTTGATATTATTGGAGTCCAGACTCTTCGATTAATCAATGATTAAGGGATAGAGCTCCCCCCCCCCCCCACCCACGCTCTGTTTTACACAAAAAAAATTAGCGATTACAATTTTTCTTTAGAATGTTGTAAACAAACCATCCTTAACTTCTTATTTTACATCTAATAGAACTAATCACCATATAGTTTGGACATGTCATTTGTTTTGTTTTACGAACACCACTAATATCCGTACAAAATAGAATGTGCATTTACGATATCTATAAAAACATATTCACAAAATGAATACAATGAAAATATTCACAACACTTGTTAAGAATATTTAGAACAAATGTTATATATATTCAACGTGAATACTACAAGTGTGTATGTTGTACGAATATGTCAAATGCCTTGTATTAATATGTCAAGCATTATGTGTCCATTTGTAAGTCCATGCACCAAAATATCTTGAAAAGTGCATCCAAAACATATCAAGATTGAATTATCATATGTAAAAAGATAAATTTAATTGAGTTGGCTAACATTATTTTTATAAAGCAATCATTTATAGCTCAAAATTAAAAAGAAAAAAAATCAACATCTTATTGGAAAAAGAGTGTTAGCAACATAACCGGATAAGATCTAGAGAATGTGTCATTCATAAATTTCTTAATTGTCCTGATGACATGTGATTTAGAATGTTGTTAATTCCATCGGATGGAAGGGTCACACACATGTAGTGGGTCAAATCCATCCATGAGTAAAACTAATATGAGAACCAGCCCTAGCAGCTGACTCCCACGATTCAGCTCTCTAATTTTTTTTTTT